ATTTTGTTTTGTTTTTAGTGCATTTTGTTTTGTTTTTAGTGTATTTTGTTTGGAAGTCGGTTTTGTTTTTTTATTAAAAAGTTTTTATTAACTTTTGTTTTTGGTTCTTTAATACCACGTGGAGACTCTCGAGCAATAACTAGTAAGGCCATTAAATAAAAGGACTTGACTATTAGAACACACTAGGAAAAAACCAAGAAGGCCGCCATTACAAACTGGTTGCTATATCTTTACTATTCCTTTAGTATATCAATTGATAGGATTAGACTACAAAATGTATTGTGAAAAGGGAATTGACTTAAAAATATGTTTTGCTAGCTTTCGCCCGCGACTCCGTCATTGTGCGATTTAAAAAAAAAAGGTGCGTTGCTTGTGTGTTCTTTCAGATTATCCTACATCAGTGCCAAATTTTATCCAGATAAGTACAGCCGTTTAGGCTACAAACTCCAACATACATCCACCCATCTAAACCTTCGCATTAATGATATTAGTAAGATAAGGTTATAAGTTATATCGCTAACCTTGTAGGTTAAACGCATAGCATCCGAGTTCTACGACGACCTGCCGCATCACACGAGCTGGTCCAGTGTGCTGTACGACTTCGTGATGGACCCCGACATAGGACCATACGCACGGATAAAGCGTAAGCACTTCGGATTGAAGAGCTAGGTCACAACACGGTCAGCAGACAGATCGATTAGCGATATCGTTACTGGAATCAAAATGTATGAGTACACTTTTTATAGTATAAGGTAGCAAATTAACAGGTCACTATTCGCCAAAATAGCGAAGTCACTGCGCCTGATACAATTATCAGGCGCAGTGACTTTGTCAAGACAAGGTCACATCGAAAGTTGTCAGTATAACATTTTTGACTTTTCAGCGATATCGTTAATCGAATATTATGTCTAGGGGACTATTAGAGCGGGCACCTTTGACTAAACTATGGCACAAACGTTGTGCGATTGTCGCTTTAGCAGCAAAATCGACTTTTTGTTGGACAATTAAAAAACGGGTAGTTTGCGCACCTCAATATAAGCTTATAGGAATCAAAGCGAGACTAAACGGTTGTGCGATAGTTTATTCAAATGTGTCTTATGTAGATAGAAAATTCACAGTCATTATAAAATTATTGTATTATTTTTATCAAATAAAGAAAAATAAGCGAACAATCTTTTTTCGCCATCAATGACTCCACTAATATTAGATGTCCGCTGTTTTTTTTAATACACTTTTATTTAATTTAACTACGGGTTATTTATGTATTATTCTCTTAATTGGTTTGAAATTCACAAAATTATCAACATAATCGATTTTTTTTAAATACATACTTTAGAAGTTTTTTTTTGCAATTGAAAAAATACGGTATTTTACATTTTTTTTTATTTTATTTATAATGAATTTATTAAAAAATTATATATTCAATACTTTGTACCATTAAATTTCTGTATATAAGCATCAATTTGAAAAACCTTAGATGCTTTTAGGTTATTTACATTATATTTGATAAATTAAGTATTACATAAAGTAATATTAGTGTTATATATGTGATTAAAAAAGAAGTCAATCACATATGTAAATTATTTTTTATAAACTGTTGAATATCATTAGGTGTTATGTTGTCTATTTATTATTTTTATATTAAACCAATAACAGTCTTCGATAAACTTAGTTTAAAAAATAATTTAAATATCTCCACAGATAACCTATTTATGGAGCATTTCATTTAAATTTCTTAAAATCAAGAGTTGATTATTAAAATATCATTTTTCGTCGCTTGCTCTGCTTTAGGTATTCATAGATTCTATATCCATGGCCGCTATATTTTTTGTTGTTAAAAAAACATCAATAACTTCTGACCGAAGGTTTTATCACTTTCTTTTTTTTACTCTGTATTAAGTTTGTTATATTGCTCAAGTGATAATACAGATATTATTTGAAATCATTTAGTTTTATTTTTAATACTTTCATGTGTGATAAATACGTTTATTTACATTTAGTGTAATAATGCATTTAGCTGTCAAATGAAATGTAATAATTTCTGTTTATGTCTTATATGAAATATGATTTTGGCTTATACACTATTTATTATTTCTAAAATATTTCTTTAGGTTTTGTAATCTGTATTTATATGATAATACTCTGTACTTTATTACGTATATTTATCTTTTACACACGGTCTTAAAATTATAAATTAAATATAGTAAAAACCGTATTTAATTAGTTTTATATGAATAACAATTGCTTTATTACTTTTACAAATTTAGATATTTTCTTAAACAATGACAGATGATAATGTGTTAAAAATATATCTTTTTACCTACTTACATTTCTGCTAAATTTACGTTTGTCGGATAAAAACATTTATAATCATGTAGAATAACAATCTTTGTTTTAGTCGTAACGCATTTATGTCATAAATAAGTTCCAGCTTGATCCAAAATCCCTGATGAATTGTTTCCCGTTTAGGATGTTTCCTGTTGGACCTATCCGTCCTATGGGTCTTTTCCCGTTGAATCGATTGATATGGATTCTATGAGCCCAACAGAAAACACCTGCTATTTATAACTGTTGAATTCCACTGCAGTTATATTTACACATGTTGTCTCTGTTTTTTCAAAGAGAGTGAAAGAGATGACAATATGTAACTGAACTAATAGTCAAATTCAATTGAAATGGGACATTATTTACACATGTCACTGAAATGTCTTAATTGTTAATACAAAAATGTGTTTTAAAGAAGTCTGTGGTCAGTCTTATAAAAAAATGGTTTAGATAGATTTCTTATAATTTCTCAGTTCCATTTTAAGTTGAATTTTACAATACAGTGGAGTTCTACTGTAAAGTTGCAATTACTGTGGTAACGTGAACTCTAGCAAGGTGTATGTACATTACAGGTATAGTATAATGTACAAAGAATCTATGTTTTTACATGTATATTTCAAGTGTTATAATAAAATATTATAAATTGATTTGTTTTATTAATACTCTAAGAACCTAATTACCCTTTCAAAGTATTCAATTTATACTTCACAAAGCAAGACTTTGACATTCAATATTTTTATTTAAATAAAACATTACAATTTGTTATAAAACTCATTTATTTTAAATACAAAATTCCTTACATATTAAATTTTAATAATCGGACGGTTTCATATATTCTTAAACTTATATTAATTGATAATGTACCAATCATTTTGTTTAATTAAACATCTCATTTGCATTAATACACATAAACATACAGACATAGGGAGAACCTAATTTTTAAGGTCCGGCAATAGACAAGTTGCAAAAAGAACAAGTTAGAATAAAACTAAAATAAATGCATTCTGACAGTAAAATATTTAGAGCGTGCGCACACATTAGACTAAACTATCGGACAACCGTTGTGCGATAGTTGATTGTTCAACTATTTAGTTACACAACTAAAAATCGAGTAGTGTGCGCACCTCCGTATTTGCTCATAGGAAATAAGAGACTAAACAGTTGTGCGATAGTTTAGTCAAATTGTGCGCACGCTTGTCACTAATAAAAGTAGTTCTAGTCTGCCACATGATCAAAAGATTAGTTGAACCTCTTTAGTAAACCTGAGTGATAATTTAACCTAACTGTGGCAGTTAATAAGAAAATGCATTAACTGGTCCGCGGGCATTCCAAATATATCTTCAAGTAGCTGTTGCTCGCGACTTCGCCCGCTTGAAATAAAAAAACAAAGGCTATGTTACGCACTATAACGTAGCTTTTTAATGGTAAAAGATTTTTTAAATTGGCCCAGTAGAGTTATTTCAATCCATACAAAAATACAATTCTTCCTCTTTACAATATTATAGTGTAGATTAATAAACGGGAAATTAAATTGGAGATTTTTTTGCATGAATTCTACGTATCATAAATCCTATAAATTCCAATGTTGCCTTTCCAATACAATTTAATTTTAATACAAATACTTTACTGTAATATAATACTTAAATAATCAACATTCAGTAGACCAGATCATGTCATAAAATGGGCTACATTACATTGTACCCTAATGATAATAGGATAAGGCTTACATTGCGTTAAAAGGCAGTGATTATATGCTATCCAGTCTGTCACAATACAATGCTTTTACTACACTGATCTCTATTAAATAGACAGGCTTGGTATTTTGTGCCTATTTGACTACAGTTAGTAGCTGGAGGTGAGAAATGCCCGTAACGTCAGGCGCGTTGAAATTGAAACGAATCAAAATCTGTTAATAACAGCAATAACCTATCCATTTATACAGATCGGTGAGTTTTAAATGTTTTCGTATATCAAAATATTCATAACATATCTTGATAATGTATAACCTTAAAATATAGTTTTAATAAAAAGAGATTCAAGACATCGACGGAACAAAGACATCAACTATAAAGTAAATTATTTAAATCTATATTCTTATAGAAATAATTAAAATTTAATTCAATGGACGAAATATTAAGAACAAATAAGGGCTCATTTAAGTAAATCTAACATAATATAGCTTTAAAAATATATCCTTTAATATATTTTAAAATCTAAATTATTAAATGTAAACTAGTCATATTGATTTGCTTAAAACAATATGCAGTACAAAATGTATAAGTAAGTATTTTCTCTTAAATAAGTGCACTTATAATCTTAAATATTTTAAAACATTACAACTACTCTTTTGTACGATTTCATCCAATTCAGTGCTTTTTAAAATAAGTGTAAAGGACAAAACAAATTTCAATTTATAATCTAAATTTCCTTGTATGTAAAATGTTAAAAATATATTAAAAAAAAACCCATATTATATCCATAATATGAGTAATCGATAGTTCTTAGTAAACCCACTGTTAAAGACCTGAACGATAATATTGCCTTCTCTGAAAGAAAGAGATAACAATAGTGTCCAAATACAACTGTCACTCCATTACTATGGCTTTTGACTAATGATAATATTCTGTTTTTTTCAAAGGTAATAATGGGATGATATAAATTGGGATGAAATATTAAGAAACGAGGTTGTATATGTGCAAGGGATATGTTCCTTTTTATATGCCAATAAAAAGAATGTAGAATAATAGAGAATAATAGAGAATAGATTGGATATTATCTCATGTTTTTATATTCTGCTTGTCGTAATCATCCTGAAGCCACTCTTTAACAACAGGAGTCCAAATAGTATGTCCATTACTATTTGGACTCGGATTTTATACTCGAACACTATTGCTATCTCCTTCTTTCGTATATGATGAGTGAGATAGCAATTCTGTACATAGATGTAACAATGTCCACATAGAATTCACACTGGTGTCTCGAAGCCACCCTCCGAGGTGAGGGGCTGTTCCTCCTGTGGCTGGTGGCTGTCGGACTCCTCGCATCATATCTGCGAGGCGGGCATGGTGGACACCGTGCTGTGCGGAGTCGTCGGTCTAGAGCCCGCAAGTGATGCGTTCAGTGACGCCATTGTACCCATCTGGAAATTATATTTAAAAATTACATTTATATCACTTTCAACCCTATACTAAATCTGGAACACTTTCATAGTAAAGATTCTTAGGATCCGACGGATGGCAATATTTCAATGGATTTTGGCGTTTAAGCTTGATGACATAATTTCAAACGCTGTTATGAATTTGTCATTTATTAATTCTGCCAGTAAACCAGCCACTCTAAGTTAAACTTGGATTTTTAGAACACAAGTCTCTTTTTATCAAAAACTTATTCTATGACACCAACATTTATGAAAATAAATAAATTTTGCTATGGATAATAATATACTGAAGTTAAACAACATTCAACATTAAAATTCTAATAAAACATTAGAAAATAAAGGGATTGTACGAGGTTTACTTCTAAAAATAAACTCACCCTCAAATGAGCCAAATCTTCCAACTTAGTCAAATCAGCCAGTTCTAAATAAAGACTGTAGACGAGGAGCCAGCCGTACACTCCCGCAACACAGAACACTATCCAGCAGAGGCACATCAAGATATTGTAGGAGAATATCATATCATTGACTATTGCAGCAAATATGAATGCAACTGTTCGGAACAGTATGAACACACCAAACGTGTACAACCATGGTACGATCTTCTTCTCGTATTCCTATTAAGTGAAATTACTAGTGTTAATTAAACAATAAGATATAAGTACTCTAAGAATTATTGCATAGTTATATTATTGCTAAGTGTTCAGTGAAAGCATTATTTTTATCATGCTTGTAATCTAAGTGCATAGAAACTAGTTTATCTGGTCATTTTTGTCCAAAAATATGTTAAACAAAATAAAAAATTGAAATTACAGCTATAGTACAAGAATCTTTGACATTTCCTTTGCCATTTGTTTCATGCTAGTTATAATTTCTAAACATGAAAATTTTCAAATGCATTTTTTTATAATTAAATGAAAAAAATTAAATATACAATTTGTCTATTCCACTGGTCAGCAAACCTAATATCTAAAGATACAAATAAAATTTCAATTATTACAAAACAGGAGGCCAAATCTGCTTGTTAACATATAAAATACATGAAGTGAATTGCTTAATTTAGTGCATTCTTGATAAAACAATGATGTGCGTTAAAATGAAAATGTAAATATGATAGTAAAATGGTGATACCTTATTTTTTCCAGTCTTTACTAGCTATGAAATGGCAGCAGTGATAAAATGAAAATGAGATGTTATAAAATGTATGTAAAAATTTTGCTATACAAAAAAGTGTGTAAACTACATGATTTATGAGTATGAGATAAATGCTATATGTTTCTAGTATATTCTACCACATAAAAATAAAAATCTAATTGGTAATATTTTACAATAAAAGAGATAGTACAGGGTTAAAAGTATAAAAGTACCAAGAATGTTAAGTTGTACTCACCTTTCTTAATGCTACGATTAGCAAGATACTTGTTATGAGAACAGCCACAGATCCAATCCAGGAAAACAATGAAAATACAATTAAGACATTGCGGACTGAAAACAAAACATGCATCAAATTTTAGTTCATTCAAGTTTAAAATATATAAGCCCACAGTTAAAACTGATTCAGTTTTAACTGAACAGTCAAACAGTCTTAGCATGGATAGGCCGGCACGCCCGGTGTAATACCACAACCACACAGAAGACAGGGGTCAAATGGAAGCAATTCCGTGTTTCGTCTGATGAGTGTGGTGCCGGAGGCCTAATTTTAGTCCCTTTCTCTTTACCACCCTTTTCTCACAAGAAGAGGATAGGAAGAGGAAGTGAATTTGACGGTGGAGGATATGCATAGGAAGGGGAAATATCGTCTTTATGTGCGTCTCCTCCTCCGTCGGATAAGGGGCAACGCATCTGCAATTGCGGATGTCTATGGGCAGCGGTCGCTTCGCCATTTTGGCGGATTGAGGTGGCCGCTTGCTCGTTTGCCACCTTATGTTATAAAAAAAAAAGTTCAGTAAAATTCCATGTGTGTAAAATAAGAAATTATACAGTTTTACTTTTGCTTAGTTCCTGATTCAGCGGTGTAATTACGTTAAAAACTTGTCATAGTATAATCATAGGATTCATGGCAGAATGTTTTTACATAATTATTTGACCTGTATGTACTCAAAACATTATAAAAACAAATCTTACCAGGTGCACTTCCGACATATACAAATTGGAAACTAAATACATAGTATCCATAATGTACTGCTCCTGGTGTTGCCATGCCCAGACAATACAAGTCAAATATACTCTGAGCAAATGTGAAGAGGGCTATGAACTGAAAACAAATGGTTGATATTAGAAAAAATAAACTTTTTAATAAAAAAAACAAAACCGACTTCCAAACAAAATACACTAAAAACAAAACAAAATGCACTAAAATCAAAACAAAATATTCTCAAAAAAACAGTACACTAAAAAGTAACGAAATAATTACTTGAAAATAGTAAACCTACCTTATTGTAACTGTTATGTCTATATTGTACAATTATTATTACTGTGATGTCGGTGTCAGCCAAGGTATGCAGTGATGTCTACGTAAGGGTTTCCACATTTTTACCATAACAATTGACAATTGAAAGTATAGTAACAATTAAGTAATGAATCTACATTGACTGACACCGACTTCAAAGTAATAATAATTGTACAATATAGACATAGCAGTTACAATAAGGTAGGTTTACTATTTTCAAGTAATTATTTCGTTACTTTTTAGTGTACTGTTTTTTTGAGAATATTTTGTTTTGTTTTTAGTGCATTTTGTTTTGTTTTTAGTGTATTTTGTTTGGAAGTCGGTTTTGTTTTTTTTATTAAAAAGTTTATTTATTTCTTGATTTTTAGTGAATCTAAACAACATAGTATGATAATCACTAGCTTTCAAACAAAGAATAAGTTATCTAAATCGATTATATAAGAAATTAAGTAAAGATCTAATACATCGTTGCGATCATTCACTCATAATTCTGTCCAGCCGCGCGCCGCTGTTGCCCTTGAGTTTTAATATTTTGATAACTTCTAGAATATTGGTCAGAATTACATACTGTAAAAGGCAATTATGATCTACATTAAATACTCTATCGTGAAAACATATTTATTTGGATAAGGATTCATACCTAATAAGAATAAAAGCGTTTTAAATGAAGTCGATTGCATTTATTTGACGGTTTTCGCGAAACAAACGGTTATTATGCGACAACTTTAAGAGATAGATATATGCTATCGCGGACTTTTATTTAGCAAATTTAAAGGGCTACAATTCTTCCATACATCATTTTTATGTAGGTCTTATAGTTTAGGCTACGTAGGCAAAGAAAGCAAAAATGACCCGAAATTTCGTCGCGCGATTTTGAGCTAAACTATTTAACTACGTCGTAGTCTTTGACTCCAAAAATCAAACAAAAAAATGGGACCCACCTGCAAGCATTACCTTTCGGATAAAAAAAGAATTATCCAAATCGGTCCACTAGCGGCGGAGTTATGCCGTAACACACATAAAAAAAAATAAAAAAAAAAACATACAGACGAATTGAGTACCTCCTTCTTTTGGGAAGTCGGTCAAAAATACTTCATGTTTTTGTGATGATGCTCTAATTGGTGTTTAAACATATCATGTTTTTCACAAAGAAAATATTGTGAGGCAAATTGGTTACATTAATTTGTTAAAGGAATAGCCTAGCACAATTATTTGGTAAAGTAATTGAATATAATTATTGACTAATATAAAATATAATTAATATAATCTGTTTGTATTATTAAAAAATAATGTTCACTTACAACTGCAAGAAAACCAGTGAGCAAGGAGCCTCTCTGTAGATCAAGCAGAAACGCATCGTGTAATATAGGTTTCATGTACCATGGTAGACGTAAAGACTTCACAGATTTTGATGATCGAAGATTCGTTGATGACCTATAACATTTCCAGGATAAATAAAGGACATAGGCACACTATCATCACGTCAAAATAACCAGAAAATAAACCACACCTTCCTGTATAGTGTGAATAAACCGATGGTGTAGAACGATAAGTCGATGGGGTTTTTCGTCCGTACATGATTTTAGTTGTTGACTCCTTTACAAAAGACCCCGCCTTGGTTGTCGATGCCGACACATAGGAAACACCAATATCTTCAGTGTGAATTTCGTTTTAACAATTTATACTTCCCTGATCTTACTTGTTTCGGTCAAAATTGTACTTAGAAAACACGAGCCACACCTATAAATTACGGAATTTGTAAAACGGATTTATTTTTCTTGTGTTGTTAGTGCCAAAGAGTAAGCAGCGGTAAAGTGTCATTTGTCAGTCAAAGAGGAGATATTAACAGATAAAAAAACCAGTAGGAAACAGATAAACATAATCGAAAGAACATTCGTTATCGGTACATGGTTAATGTTGATATAATTAAAATGTCCCTTGAAATAAAACGAAGCAGGTTTCTTATGCATTCAGATTCCATTACATTTTGTTCCCGTAATTTAAGAACTCCCAAATTCCAAGGTGTGAGAGGATGAGAAGCCCTGGGCTCAAGTTTAACTACCTACTCTTCATTGAAGAGCTTCCAATGAGTTTACGTGGTTCATCATTTTAGTTTAAATGAGTTATTAAAGTATTACAATATGGAGATTTAACAAGTTTTTATTAAAAATATCAGTAATCTCCACAAACAATTTCATTCTGTAAATAATCACTGTTGACATAAATAGGACCACATTGCCACAAACACTTAGGACATTTCTGTGTTAGGTCATCCTTTTTTCGATCTTGTAAATCGATCCAACCTGAGATAGATTCGTCAATTTTAGGCTCAATTGAAACCTTGTCATCGAAATCAACAAAGTTTTTCCATTTTTTGCGTAAGGTTTTCGTGATATAGTCTTTTTTCTGTACGTATTTTGTTAGCTTTTCAATTTTTTGCATCGCATCGGTTACAGCTAATTTTTCTTCGTTTGCTGATTCTGTAAAAGCGCGGCTCGGTATTTCTGATACTTCTGTGCAAAACTCAAATGATATATCACAAGTGCCGAAAGACTCCCCACCGGTAGAATATGTGGCTGGTGCTGTGAAAATGTTTCATTTTCAACCATTACGCACCTACAGACAAAATAATTACTATTATACCATAGTGATAAATCTTCTTTTATGGGCTCAAGTTTTAAGATAAGAGATATATAATTAAATGAATTACTCATTAACTTTTTTTTATAAAAACGACTAGCTGGCGTTTAGGTTATATACAAAAAATTACTATGATAACTTTCGCCTACTTACATTTCTTGGGTTCGTTTTGTTGGAACCATTCTTGCGGTCCAGTACCGCAACGACAGAAAGGTGGTTGGGGGCCTTGCATCATGAATATAAAGGGGGCATTCTCCTTGCTCCCATTCATAAACTGTTGCATATTTTCAGCGAAAAAAGCATTGTTCTGCCAGTGCTCAAAACAATGCTTGAAGAAATCAGAAGGATTGTCTTTTCCACGACTGAGAACATGACGGTGGAAACAATCTTCACAGAAAACTTGCCCATAGTATATCTTAAGCTTAGAAGTTGGTATTTCATGACAGAAATCTGAAAATTAAATTGTTGTATATGATAAAAACCGTCTTTCTTAACGAACGCCGGCACTTTCGACTTGCCCATGTGTGTAGTTGAAAGATGAAAGATGTGAATAATATTCAATACAACTTACAGCATCTAGCACACTGGCTATGGAAGCTTTGACCGTCGATTTCAACCTTACTGGCGTCGTCTACTGGTTGCAAGCAACGTGAGCAAATCGACCTTTTTGGTGATGTTGTATTTCCGTCTTGAGAAGGTTTTTCACCTAGTTAAAATATATTTAAATAAGAACGCAAGCAAGTTGCAATCATGTACGATATTTTGGTTATGTAAATAAGAGATGTGAGTATAGAGAAGGCAAACATTGATTTGAAAACGATAAACGAATTGCTACGTTTTAAATACGATATAACAAGCAAAGCACTTACTTTGTGGCGGTTTTGGGCCAGGTGCCCACTGCATCCACCAACTATTAGAATGAACGTGAGGGGCATCATTTTTAAATCTACAAAGTACGTGTGTCTTGAAACACTCGTTACAGAATACGTGGCCGTAAAACATCTTCACAGCTGACGGAATCCTTCGACATACACCTGAAACATGAGTTTATAGTAACAGTGGAAGATAATAAAGCATCCAGCTGTACTAAATCTAATGGTAAATAAAACTGCCCACTAGCTTAGTATGACAAAATAAAATGTACTGCAGAAGACAGTTGTAAGGTAAGAAGTTGTAAGGAAGATGAAATTAAAAACAAAACTGTGCCGATTTCAAGCAGTTGATGAAACTGCCAGTCAAGCTATAACATAGAGATTGGGTAGGGACATGTATTCAGTTTTTTTTTTTTCAAACTTACAGCACATACTACAAATCTTGTGAAAATTCTGTCCCTCTATGTCCACTTTATCTTCCTCTTCAACCGGAAGAAAACATCTTGCACAGAAGCATTTCTTCGCTTTATCTTGACTTTTATCCATTACTGATAATAGGCAATTTTGTACTGGTTATGATGGAAAATGATGAGCCAGGAAAACCTGTAAGAATTTTAGTGAATCAGCAAAATGCTACCAATTCAAGTTAATGACAGATTGAATTAAGAAAACAAAACAGAAAAGGCGTTCAACAGAAATTTTTAAATTAAGAATTACATTTTATCAAGGAAGCAAAAAGTTTCCAAGACTTTAATCATAGGTTTAGGTTGATGCATTTAGTTATAGTCTATGACATAATATAAGTATCATGAAATTCGAAATAAACTATAATCTCACGTGTTTATATCAGTCGTGGATCGTGATTATTAATATTTTTTTCCTGCTCCATTCAGACTCCTTTGAAGAAAATTCAAGCTACAGGTACATCACTAGTCAATTCGAATCATTTACGTTAAAGAAAAGAGAAGCACATCACTAGTTAATGTGTGGTGATGACCGTTGTTGTGTTATCTATCATGTTTTTATCAAAAGAGTGATGTTTACGGAATTGTATGGAAATAAATCAGCATATACTTAGTGGTAAGATAGACACACTATCTAGTTCTTATCTTAACATAAGATAAAACACACTATCTCTAATGTTTGTTTAGGTTATACCGATGATACTACTTTTGGAGTTACTACGATCATGTTTTTGTCTTTTTATGATAGAAAATCTCTTATAGTAAACCGCATAAAGTAAAGACACTCACAATAATAAATTTCTTACCGATTAAAACATTATTTCTTTTAAATTATGAGGGTTTGTAGCGATTTTCATGTCATTATAACTGTTGTCAAAACTTTGCCTTCTATTTGTGCCGACCTCAATATGTTGAAATCATTTGGCGCGCCACAGCCTTCGGAATTCGGAAGCATTAGTCAACACATAATGTGATATTTATTATGAACCAAAAAATATAATTTCAATTAAAAAATGGTAGTTTAATGTCGGAAAAACATTTAGTGACAGAATTAATTTCAAAATAAATTGGTGGTTTAAAATTCATCCTTGTTATTCAAATTTAATATATTATTGTTTATTAACGAATTTAGATAATAATCGGTAAAAACAAATTGTGGATAATAAAGTTATAAAGATTTTTGGGGTATGTTCATTAAATTTTTGATTATATTATTTTAAAGTTATAGTTTCGATTTTAAAATCAAAAGCTTTTTTCAAAAAAAATTAATGGCTAAAATTTTGGCGAGGTGTGAATGTATGAATTTAACTCAGTACCAGTGAGGTAGGCAACAGTTCAGCGATTGCCAGAACATTCAACACACATGGGTGTCACCGATTGTGAATTTGAATAACTGACATAGAAATCCGTATTATATTAGATGTAGGCAGTTGTATAAAAATGTTAAGAAATTACTAAATCTAAATTTATGTAAATAACATACATAGCTAAAAATTTATAATGGTGACAAGATGAATGTTTCTTATTCATAAAATACAAACTTGTGTAAAATATGATGATGTGGATATATAATAAGGAAAATGTTGGATTTCAAGGCCATGAGTATAGTCAATTTACTTTATTTTAACCCTTAATTTGATGGAGTTTTTTTTATAGCAAAAATGTATTATGTTACCAATATAGTAAAATCAAAATCTTGAGTATTTTTCTTTAAACTAGTTCAGTAGATTCTTTTAATTAGTTGTTTGTCACACTGGACACTATCGAATTAAGGGTTAACTATGGAGTTGGTAATCAAGTGTTCCAAATTATAAGTTCTGTTGGATAAAGATTTGATTAGTTATTCTCTCATATTGAATTAAACGGAGATAACAATCATGATGCTCTATACTATCTATATTTAATATAATAAAGCGTAAACACACACTACTTCATGTTGTAGGATGTCAACAATCACAGCATATTTTTTTATATTTCTTTCTTTAATAAATACCCTATACTTATGACAGGCTTTATATTTTGACTCTAGTAAATTTAGGGGTAAATAAATTAGAAAAAACCATCATGTGGGAAAGGGACCATAAACTACAAATGGCCAACATTAGGGAAACCAGGTTATTATGGTAACGGTAATTTTGATATTATTTGCAATTGAGAATTTGACAAATTTAAACAATTTCGTGTGGATGAAGTCGACCTAGAATAGCTAGCTATGTTTCAGTTATTTTTAAATTGCACAGATAAAGTAATGAGCAATAGCTAGTATATTGTAAATACAAACCTCTATTTTTTAGTATTTGTTGTGCATATTTGTATCAAAATGAAACAAATTTTTTAAGTCCTCCTTCTTTGAGTTATCCAATCATACTAGCAGATCATACTTTACACTAAAATATTATAAATGCGAAAAAAAGTGGAATGGATGGATGTTTGTTAGAGTTTGTAGCCTAAACGGATGAATGGATTTCGATGAAATTTGGTATAGATGTAGAGGATAGTTTGGGAGAACACGAAGGCTACTCACTTTTTTTTAATACCACGCGGACGGAGTCGCGGGCGAAAGCTTGTTTGAAATAAAGAAAGTTAAGTATTACTATTTACCATACTCTTATATCCTTACATCTTCTATGTATTTTTGGTGTCCCACTTAAAAAAATTGTGATTATATGTAGCCAGACTTAAAAAGAAGCATTTTAAGTACAACTTAACATTACTTATTACATTTATGACCTAGACTATGTTATGTCTAATCATAAATCGGATTACAAAATACCATCAACAACATGAGAAACACGAAACTACACGCATGCGGTCTCAGAGACGCAATCTAAACAGATTGTGTTTTGTTTTCCTAAATATCTCTAAACTACAATGAAATTCGATAACATTAGATTCCCAGTACTTTTACAACAATCGTCAGTTTAGTCATATTCTTTTTGTGCACTAAGCCTAACGTGTGTAAATTACAATCGTTGAGGCGATAGAAAGTGAAGTGATGACAGAATCGTCTTATACCATCCAAAGAGAGCTTATGGATCTCTTTAGCGATAGGTATTGTGTTCACCAAATTACCATCTTCGCACAAATGTACCGGCTCGCTCGGTGTAATACCACGACCATACAGAATATAGGCGTGAAGTAGAAGCGATGTCGCGTTTCGTCTGATAAGTGTGACGGTGGCCTAATTTTAGTCCCTTTCCCTTTCTACCCTATTTTTAAGAGGAAGGGATGGGATCGAGGAAACATCCCCTTTATGTGCGTCTCCTCCCCTGGCGATTAGGGTAGGCAACGCATCCGCAATTGCGGATGTCTATAAGCAACAGTCGCTTCGCCATTTCCATTTCAGGTGGTCGCTTGCTCGTTTGCTAACTTATAACATTAGAGTTAAGAATGTATGATCTTTGTAGATCTGATATTTCCAGTATACCCAGGTCTAAAGATATACTTATATTATTAGATGTACCTAAAAATAGATTTTTTTTTTATCGTTGTGTGAAACGTAAAATATCAGAAAACTATAGTTTAATCTGTCTCTAATGAGAGTAGAAGCTTGAGATTTATATTTTGCTTATTTTTGTTGCAGAATGGTGCGGTCGAATGTTAACAACAGAAAAATGTCCCGCCATGAGAAAGCGAAAAGTGGCTTTGTAAGTATCAGTCTTAGTAATTGTTTATAATGTTTCCCACTTTATTAGGGCTAGATCCATCAACCATCATCCATATCAACAATTCAATGGTAAACGCAAATACATCGAAATTAGTATAATTTTAATTAACAATTACTTTCTGATTTAAAGTGTGCGTTTTTAATAATGTTTGGTTTGAATTGAGCCATTAAAAATTAGAAAACATACTTTTCAAGTTAGAACTGAAAATTGCTTACTCTTTTATATTATCCTAGCCGTATAATAGAAAAGGATAGCTTTAGGTTCCACAAAATACTTCTTTCGTTAGCAAGTTTTAAAAGATCGATATAAGGAATGTTCACAGGAAATTCGCACGTAATTGTATGGTGGTTACATTCTTATTTGTATACCGCTTCAAGTAGCCATCAGCTGATTCCTCGTAGTCGTACTCGCTTGAGACCGAGGGTTTACGTTCGTACGGTATGTACACGACCGTTTCTAGATAAGCGAGTAGGGTTTGCAAAAACGTTAACACTAACGTCCTTTTAAAAGAAATCAAAGTAAAAAGAAGAAAGTATCTATGAATTTTTTCGTCTTTTAAACTACCATAAAGCCAGTGGGATTTAACCTTAGCTGGGTCTATGTTTATTTAATTTAAAATAGCCTACTATATTTTATGTATGTATGCAATCAATAAGTATACTAATTGTGTAAAATATAATGGTCTATAGGCAGGTTTGCTACATTACATAGCCTAGCTAGGCTATAGACTTATTTCCAAACAAGAAAAAAATCAGCTCTTGAAATTGCGGTCGTACGCCTAGCCGATCGGAATGACATTTTTTATTGTTTTTTTTTCACAACTTTGTCTATGCTAACGGTACCTGTCGCTGACGTCTGTATACACAGCGATATAACTTCGCCAGTAAATTTCATTTAGTTTTCAGTCGAAGTCCTTTCAGTGAATGTGTCCCGCGATTTGTGTTCGTTATAACGTTTGTTTTGTTTAGTTGTGTATCTTTAGTGTTATTGTGCATGATATGATATTCGATAGTCATTACATAATGTAAATTAATCCTAGATACCTTTTATATGTTACCAGAAACTGATTGTTACTGAATAACTTAAGGTTTACGATAGTTTGCACGTTGCGATATATTTAGACTTTTAACTGTGTTCTAAGGCTAGCTAAATACAGCTAGCGTTGTAACCGTTGTCTTTCACTGCCGGAACTCCCATACAATGATTTTTTTGTGATATTTCAGCAGTAGAAATCTAGATTTACATGATACTGTCTTGTCATACTTGAGTACTGTTTATTGAACTATTGTAAAAGATGACCTTGGCCATGAGATTGTACGCTTATATAGTTACTTTAAACATCGTTCAAATATCGGTTTTCAATCTCTTATTCATTGTTTTGGTATGCTAAAATGAAATCAGAATTCCTAGTTAATACAACTTTGATTGGTAAACAAAATCGAGACAGTGTATTTGCTGTTAATATTGCTTAAATTTTCGTACCAAAATGTAGTGGACTGGTTGACAGCAGTCCTACTCAACCCTAAATAAGGGTAAGCCCGGAGCTTCCTCATAGGGAAGCATCCGAGCTAGACAATATCAATGGAGATTAAAAAAACCTTTTCCTACATCGTGATAGAAAAGAATCGATATACTAGTACGCATCTTGTGACTTATTTTTATTTCTCAATAATAAAACCTCCTTTAAATTATTCTTACCAAAGTGGACATAATAAAGTACTCAAAGGAAACCAGTAGTCCATTACGTCACTGAGTTGTGCCGCTTACCGACTTGCTTCATTTTGTCACATACCATTGCGAATCGATTTTTAATGTCATTCAAATGACTTTAGTATGTAGTTTTATTTATATTCCCAACTTGCACAACGTCAATCATATAGCCAGTAATATTGTAGTATTCTCAAATATATTTCAAGTTTCCAACAGAAAAATTAAATAGGAACTAACATAGATGCACTACAAGGGTGTGTACTCATCCTCGAGCGGTACGAAAACTGAATAAATCGTGATCTACACATTTGCGGTGCTATTGCCGAATGTGTACGGACCTTAAGGAAGACACATCGAAAAATTGCTCTGTTTTTTTATTTTTATCTTTACTACATTAATTGGACATTTATATAACATACCTAGCAAGTTGCAACAGGCAATAAAAGTAACAAACCAAGTTAATATAGCGTCGTGATTTAATAATAAACAGACGAGGCCATTTGTTTATGTGATAATTATAAACGAATACACGTCGAGTCGGGTTATTTAAAAAATGTTTAGGTGCGGTCGCCTCCACGGATTTCTGTCCCCGATTGCTATGGTTTTAATTAGCATGTATTACAAAAGATTTGTGACTGAAGATGGTATGACAAATCTGTTTAAAAATTGCTCCTAAAACATGATCTTTCTCCTTATCCTACTCTCGTAGGGTCGGAGCAACAGGTTTTTGTCCTCCCCATAACTCTATCATACGTCATCTCAGTCATCACTACTTTCTTGATCGTGTCACCTTTAACGCAATCAATCTATCTCTTGCTATGTCTACCTCTACCAGTGTACCTCGACACTCTTGTCCTTGGTACATGCGATTCAATAAGTTGACCCTAAAATAGGAGAATTTTAAAGTTTCATTTGCATTAATCCTATGATTATTACAAATGAATCAATTTAGTGATTACATGTAACTACATTTTAATAGTGTTAAACTATTTCCTATTAAAATACCGATTTGTTTTGTCAGTGTAAGTAGGCGAAACGATTAAGTCTTTATTTGAGCGCATTATTGTGGTCAGATGTAAGGCCGTGTATCCATTAAAATAAAGGGTTTCAATTAAGCTATTGCTTAATGTTTAAAGTCCATCTTTATTCAAATTAACGATACGAGTGAAAGTTTGGATCGAAGCTGAGGTTATGATTGGAAATCTTTCGGTGAATGTTTCTGACTTAACATCAAAAATGCTTGTTTTTAATAAAAAAAATACTATCAACCCTTGATTATATTGACACCGATTAAAAATCCAACGTTTATTATCCAACAATATATTTTTCATACTTATAGTTTAATTTTTGCCTGAATAATTTTAGCGTGATATTTTTTTTTGTGTATTGATTATGGGTAATCAGATTAGTCATGACCGAATAATGCGTGAAAAGGAATCTTCATTATCAGTAACAATTGGTTATCAGTATAGATTACAGTACAGCAAAAATGATGTTAAAACCATCTTATCTTTACTAACAGTGGACGTTTTAAATTTATAACCAAGTTTATATTTAGTTTTGGTTTCACAAATAAAAAAGTGCTTTATTAATTGTACAATTGCATTTGAAGTCCGTATTTCCTAGTATTCATTGCATTGATAAAGAACGGTATCTTGCACAATTAGATACAAATATTTTTTAAATGTTATATGCATTTATTTTCTACGAACGTAGGTTATGTTTCTATCACTAGGATATATTAAATTTATTTAAAATGTGATGTGAAGTGATTAAAGTGTTTGTGTAAGTTATGTGTGTATGAAGTGTCTTTATTGTAAGGAGTAATGCCTAATCGCCATTTAGACAATATACCCGAAGGCGAGGCTAGCAAGTATTACAGCTTGCCTCGGCTTAAACGCAAGGAAACATGGAGGAAAAAAGGGGTAAGTTGTATTGTAAGATTCGAATTGCCATCATGTTCTACTCTCGTGGATGCCAGTGAACCCATTGCGGGAGGAAAGTATGCGTAGGAGTCGAGATTTTTCCGTAATCTTATGTTGAGAGAGAATCGGTAGATGGCGCTGTTATTAAAAATTGTTAATATCCAAATGATCTAAATGTTTTGTTTTTAATAAATTTTATCAGTATTTACGTGTTAAAACTATGAAATTATTGGTTTATACAACCATCATAATAATCATTCATGTATATCAATTAAAGCAGTACTTCGAAAGGACAGTAAGGTCACTTCACACTTGTTTTATTACCATCAATACTCACCAAGGCTGACTGGCCTCTCCTTTTTGTTATTTGACATATTCTGCATCATTTTCTAAATTATTGACGTAAGAAATCAAGGTTTTCTTCAAAAACGGATGCCCTTGTTGACCACACTAGGTTTAGGGACAGAAGGATAATAGTAATAATTTCATGATTTGTGGTAGTTTTAACTACTTTAGATTTGAAATTCGTGATTCCAATCAATGACTCAGCTGTAGTGTAACTAAATATAGAAAATTAATTATAAAAAATCGAGACTAAGTATAAATTGTAGTTGTCGATAGTATATCCATGATATTTAACTGCCAAATACTTGATTTTAAACACATTGTTGTCTCTGTTTTTTGGAGAGAAATGATATGGTAATTTGTTTTATACAATTAATCCAACAATGAAAGCCAACTTTAAAGAGAGCATCTGTTAGTGATCATTTGAGAAATCTTTCGAAAAGGACAAAAATTAAATTGTTTACTAGTCGGTACCTTTATCGGATGATACTGGACAGACGGACGATAATACGTGAGGTAGGCCGTTCTTAATTAATATTTTTAAGGACAAACACTTTTCCATAACACCCACGTCATACCAAAGATGCAACGTCAGGTATAAAACTGCGTGTGTATGGGATGGATGATCTCATTCACTTACATCATTGCAGATTTGTAGCACGAAGTTGACATTGACTTACAAACAATAGCATTACAAACCAAATTTCCCGACTAACATCTTATTTTTTCACCGGAGAAGAACACAACAGGAATTATTCTACTAAATGTATGAAACCATTACACTTTCTGTTATAGAAATTTGAGCATCCTGTATTCTCGTTCCGTAAAAAAAGGTTTAAATTACCTTTTCCAGATTTATAGTGGAACTTCTTAAAGTACCATTGTCTTTTGAGGTTCGGCGATCATTTGGGCAACTTGCATTTTTGACACCGCGGCTCTGAAAAGTGAACGGGTGCTCTTTCCACTGGCCTAAGTTTTTGATCTAGGATGTTCTTCAGCCTACACTTCGCTTTTCGTGAATTTCATGTACTATGAGGTGCATACTAAAACAATTATCCTGGATACTAAAACAAAACCCGCAGGAAGCTCAGTAGAGCGTCGTTTAATAAATACAACTGCTTAATTATATTTTATTTTAATTAACCTAAACTCATATAAGTTCGATTAAAATATATCTACTACAAATATCCTGTATTTTAATGAATCATCAAAGAACATTATATTGTACTATATAATTGACATTGTTTTTATGTTTGTTCAGAGGTAACAACCGCTAATGCGTCCAGTGATAAAGATGTCGCTCCGGCATATCTATGAGTGGGCAAAAATATATTTATTGCGCTTGCACGGTTTAAAAATAAACATACAATAAGACTTTGTAACTAACAGTCTCCCGCGACTTGGTCCGCGTATATTTTCATTGTTAACTTTCTTAAAACCTGATGAATCTCATAATTATTTCATTTAAGAGTACTGAAACTTAAATCGAAACATAAAGTATTATTCGATAAACTATTTTTTTCCAAATAACTATGCTATAACGGAATTGCGATCTTATACAATCGATAGTAGAATCTTATACAAGCGATAGTAGAGCTTTGCAAATAATATTAGTTTTTTCTTCTATATCTTGTTCCCGGAAAATCTTTAAATAACTTGAATGGCATGACTTGTACAGACTATGTTTAATATTCAGCAGAGAGCGTACTTTGGTGTCGCAGTCGAAGGCGACTCAGTTTATAGGACGACCGTACTTGTATGGCACAAAGGTGAACCGTCATTGTTTACAATGGTTAATTGGCACAAATATTTATGTATACAGAAAATTTTTGTAGTTGTGATAACTTCAACTTGTTCTAAGCGTTTTATTGAAGAAAATTAGAAACAAAGTCGAGTGAAAGATTCATTTTTTGACCAAAATTATTAGCACGTCTTTCGAAGGAACAAAGATTTTTAATAGTTTCTTAAATGCGGTTAAAAGACGAGTTAATAAGTGTTAAGAATCCAAACGTTTTAACAATTTTCTCCAACAAATTCTACGTCAAAATAATGATAGTTACTTAGTACTGACATCGTCTCAATCAATGTCATCATAAAATCTCTCTCATCATCATCATCATCAACTTGCCCTTACCCTTACGGAGGGTCGGCACAGTATGTGCTGCTCTTCTATACCTTTATATCCGCCGTTATATCTATATCCACTCCCTTTTTAAGCGTATCCTCTTTCACATAATCCATACTTTCTTCGGTATTCCTCTACCTTTGTAGCCATCCACATTCAATCTTAACACTTTCTAGTTTTTATCATCATAAAATCTCTTTATAGGCATAAAATCTATGTCATTCTCGAATAATCTTTATCTCTATCTAGATAAGATATAAATTACCTCCTCCTATTGAATACAATACGCGAAAGTTTATTGACCTTTATTTATTTAAAACTTAAAAGGATTCAACAATTTTCTTTCACATTACTTAATGGCAATCATGTCAAAGCACCTTAATGATAATATTCTGATGAATCCTAACAAAATACGCCGCCATTTTAATTCGAGGTTAGAGGTTACAATGCAAATAACCCACCTAGTAAATTAAAGTTGTCAAAGACGACCTCATTCCATTTATACTTATTTAATATTCCTTATAATACGATAAAGACCTTTAGGAAAAGAGCTACTTGTTGAATAGCAATGGTCCATTCTTCAAAACCGTCGATCGAAGATGCTAGTAGATAGTAAGTAGTTAGACAATCAAAATAACTACGTACAGAACTGTCATTCGGCGCCACATAATACCATTTCATTATAAAGTTGCGCCCATAGTGACGTAATCGTCACTACATTCAGACGGATTGCTCATGCGTTTGCGCTGATCAATAATAATATGTAGGGCTGTCAAATTTAATTTAATAATCAGAGACATTGAATTATGCTTGTGATTGGATTGTTTGGACTTTGGATTAATTTGTTTCATAATGCTAATATATCTGCATAGGCTGAGGGTAATCTATTCTTAACTTAAGAAGCTAAACGTAATAATCAAATAATCATTTATTAGCAATAGTACTTTATAATTGTCTCGTGGACTGTGTGTATATCTTCTAAAAAGTATTTATGAACTTGTGAATTTCTAAAACCAAATCGTAATCATTCTTAAGTTTGTGTCAACCCTATGATCGCGGAGCCGTTTTGCCTTATGTTTTTTCTACCACTGCTTGTGTGAACGTTTACTTCGATCACACATACCATGAACGGTATTTGTTAAGTCTGTGCGTTAGTGTATTGTGTGAAAAGTTGATGTTTAGTGTTTTGTTCTGTGTCTAGTGTACATGACGTTTCTTATAAAATGGTCAGTATTATTAATAATGTATTTAATTTTATCTATGAATTAACAAAAAAGTTGTATTAAGTTACAATGTTGATGTATGAAGGGATTTATACTTGAAGGTTATTGCAAATTAGATACTAAAAAATCCCTCTTTGTTTTAATGATATTCTTTATCTATTACTTTTTTGTACAGATTTAAATTTTTAAATTGTTATTACAGTTTATCCTCGGTCGTTGTTATTCATTTCTAAACGTATGATGAACTATTTTGTCGGCAATTTCATTAACTGTATTGTTAATTATAAGCATTACTTAAAATCCCCTAGCGTAATTTCATACGAAGTCAACTTTAAGGGACTCCCTTATTGACCGATTGAGTACTCTTTATATGGTATTTTCAGCTTGTTTTTAATTCTGTTTAGAATCGTAATTACATTGCGTTGGTGTGTACACACGTGTTGGTAACACAGAATGCGTTGGGCTATGTCATCACCCTGATTATGATCAATTAAAGTTATAATTGTCTTTCACATCGGTCGTATCTATAGAGAGAGCCTTGGCCTTGGTGTATGAGTAAACGTAGGAAGGTCAGGTTCCTTAATGCGTGATGTGTTTTGTATTTTATATATTTGTACTTATATTATTTCATGACCTTATTTTCTTGTTAATTATCCTTCTGAATTTTTTAATATCATAAATTCAAATTATTTTATACAAACGCGGGACAAAATTTTGGATATTTATGACAACTGAATTGTGTTTTTTTTTTATATTAACATCCGATGCAGTTAATATTAACTTATATCCTTTCCATCAAAAAACGGTATTTACAGTTTATATTTTGAGTATAAACTGTGTTGAAATAAAAAAGCTTCGTAGTTTATACATAAATAAGACGTGCACTATGCATTCGGCAGTATCTCCGAGAGGATATCGCGGGAGGTCGCAAATGCAGTGTCAGTACAAAGTTTACGATTACCGAATACACGCGTTATGTAGTTTTGCTATTTTTTAAAAGTTTAAGTAGTTAAAACGTAGTTAACCGACTTTAATACTTTTTTAATTACATTTTGTTTTGATGAAAAGATTTGAGCCTTAACTTGATTTTTGTAGGCAATCATCGATGTTGTTTGATTTGATTTTTTTCACAGAAAATGTTATTCCATAGTTCTTTTGCTTCGATTTAAAAAAAAAACTTGAGTTAGTAGTAAACTAGATAAGTTCTGAAGTTACAAACATCCATACGATCAAGCTTTCGCAATATTAAGTAAAAATTAAGTAAAATTAGCGTGACTTCTTATAACATCTTCTATGACATCACTGTTGTGTGCCCACCTGGTGTCATTCGTGTCAATGTCATCAACCTTGTACACTCGTGTCATGTGTAAATATATACAACTAAAACAATTGGAATTGTGCCAATTGTGGTGTTAAATTTTTCCTTATTCGAAAGTAGTAAGATTTAAATTGCATCGGAAATGAACATTGTTTACAAACTCTCACCTTGAGATCGATAGAGCTGGTGACACACTTTATAATTACCTATTTATTTATTTAAATTAATTACTCTGAAAATACTTTTTTAAGTTACGTTAACATATAAAATGCTCAGCCTTAGTATTCGTCCTGATTTATTTGTTGAAAAAGATGTCTATTAATGTTTCTTTTTTATAATCTTATTCCAACCTAGGACATGTAAAATCTTCTATAAATAAAATCCTATTTAACCTACATCACCTATGATATCACTCGGACATGTTATTTAATTTCGTATACTTAATTACTCATACGACCTTGTGTCGTCCATCTGATATCATCTTTATATTTTTTTCGTCACAATTTTATTGAATGCAGATTTCTTTCTCATCTCGTATGATCACGGACTTGATAGTCCCAAAATTTATTTTGAGCTGTCTAGGTTCAAATATACTATATGTCCGACTTCGATGCAAATGTAATAACAACTTAATTAAAATTAACTTAAGTACAGACATAAGGAAGAAAGTCTAATTAAGATATTATCATTAATTATTAAAATAGCTACTTTAAAAAGTTCATTTGAGATATTAATTAAAAATGTGATTGCTTATAAACTGTGTAGTACAAAAAGAAATTACCGTTAATCCATCATCTGGACGTCAAAACAAATTAATTTATCATCGCTAATAGTGTGTAAACACCTTTGGTTAATTCGCCGTGCGACTTTTTGTGCGTCTATTATTGTCACTGAATGGCCGACATCATCGCTCAGTATATTCAGATGAGTGAAGCATCATCAGGGGAAGATTTTATTTTTACTAGTTCGCTAATTTACAAGGAAAGTGTGGCTTCCGAACTCAGTGTGTGCAGTGCCGATTATGTGATCGTACATTTTGTTGGTGAATCGGGAAAACGACTTCTATTTAAATGTGTTAAATTAGTTAATATTATACAATTTTACAATGTTACGATAGTAAATAGCACTGTGGTAATTTTAAAGATTTTTTTTTTTAAAATGGACACAATAAAAGTAGTTGGTGACTATGTTAGAGAGCGGTCGCCATTCTCGGTAAGTTTAAATTAAATCTACTTTTAAAAACAGAACTTGGCCAAGTGAAAACTTCTGATAATAATTATTTTTTGCAAACGTACGCGTTGTTAAGATATTGGTATTATATGTTGTATTTTCTGCTCTGGCTTTTACTATGTAATCCATAAGTTGTTTTGCAACAAATATGACCCTTATTTTTGTCACGTGTGCTCCATATAAAGTGTATAATCGTCAATCTTCAATGCGGGCGACGTCTCATTGTTAGCGATATTGCGGACAGAATGTCATGAATCGATTGGACCTCAAAAGGCACAATGAGACGAGACAATAGCCTCCGTAAAAATATTAGGGTTGCCAATATTTGTTAATATCTACAGCTTTATATCTAATTTGACCTGCGAAAATCCGTTAGCCGTTACTATGACATTTGACCATTGTTTACTATATCATGTGGTTGGAAAAGAAATGTGGAAGCTATTAAAAATACTATCATTTTTTTATTGTTATCAGGGACCTTAGTGACTAGCAACTTAGAAATGTCATTGAAAAATCGGCGGATCGTGCTTTTTATTATTCAGTATTTTGCAGAACATTAACGAATACACCATCAACTGTTTAAGAACGGTTAATGTGACAACCCTATCGTATCCCGATTAGTCGTGTGCATTAACAAACCAATATAGCAATGTTGCCTAATCGAAAAGCATTTTTATATGATCGTTAAATGATACCACATGTAAAAGTAATTAGTAAGCGCAATCGTCAGGCAATGACCCTTTGAAATGTGCCAAAAAACAGCTACATTTTTATAAGTAAAAAGTTTTACTTATAAATTTGTACTTTTAAAGAACGCAAATATCAGTATAATTTTGTGGTTACAATTCTGTGTAAATACATAAATCATACTTCATACTAATATTATAAATGCGAAAGTTTAGATGGATGGATGTTTGTTAAAGTTTGCTGCCTAAACGGCTCAACGGATTTAGATGAAATTTGGTACAGATATAGAAGATAGTCTAGAAGAACATATAGGCAACTCACTTTTGTTTTTTTAATTATACGCGGACGGAGTCGTAGGCGAAAGCTAGTATTAACATAAATAACATACGTCCCCATGAATAAAAAAGCACCTTTATTTTAATAAATAGGTCGGAAGTACGGCCCTGTTTTATGTTCTCAGCACGAATATTATTAACCTATTTTTACTACGATCATGCTACGGTGAGTTGTCTCATAAATTAATTAAAACAGAACGCGAAGCACGAAAAAAAATAACATACTTAGCGCAATAAATGTTTCCTCTTTTCAAAATGTTAGGAAACACGGGTATTAAGTTGTCCTAAATTGTCTTATGTGGACTATATTAGACCATGTTTTTTAATATTATTTACATTAAGATCCCTTGCTATATCTTTCCTTACATAATGGGACATACGTTTTTTTTAATGAAAATATAAGATTTTTGTTAATTTACTAATATTTCTTTTAACCATTCTAACTAAGCTCTAGGTTTGTGCTAGGATATGGTTCAAGATAATAATCGAATGGTAGGATTCCAACCCTCGACCGCAAGATTGGTAGTCCGTAACCTAAAGCATTAGGCTATTGTCGCTTATTATACGTTACGTTATACGTGTCTTAGTAGTTTATTGTTACCAATACATAAATATTGTTTTGTTATCAAGTTAAGTGGAGCAAAACTATCGTTATTTAATTACTGGCGGTGTGACTTGTGTAGAATAAGGTGCGATAAACCAGTTAAGGATTTTATACGTTACATCCGTTAAACACGACGAAAGGAAATTTCTAAACTACGGGAAAATGCATCTAATACATCTAAGAACAACTAAACCTTTGAGCTGTGTTATTGGCGTTTCTTGATTAGCATTCAACTCATTTGCCAAAAGTGTGGTGGTGATTACCACCACACTTTTGGCAATTTATACCGCTGGTACTTTTGCATACTTAGATCTGCTAACGATTTGTCTGGCGAGTTTACTTGCATACGAAAGGTCGCAATGCATAGTTATAACAATTACTAAAATAAATGTTGCTTTGTTCCAGCTGGACACATGGTTCGGGCGGCCGAAAAAGACGGGCGGTGGGATCGAAAGAGGGTACGAGACGGTGCCGCGGGGGGCGGAGCCGCGCGCCGAAGAAGATGAGCCCTCTGCCGCGGCCGAGTATACCAACAAGATCGATGCTCTCGACGACAACCAGCTGCAGCGACGGTTCGAAGAAATGCTGGTGAGTGGCAGAAGCACTGGTATTATTATTTACCTCGTGAAATTAAAAAAAATATAGCCTATGTTAATCACTGTTAATGTAGCTTTTTGGTAGTGATTTTTTTTTTAATAGGCCCATTAATTTTTGAGTTATTATAATATACAAATCTTTCCTCTTTATAATATTAGTATAGTATAGTATAGTATAGTAGGTATATTTTACAAGTCTCTTCCTCGGTCGAGGCTAATGGTTTTTAAATTAGCTATTACAAGCTGTTGATCGTTTGATGTTTATCTGATATTAATTAGTCAAATTGATAAAAGATCGGTATTCTCTTATTAATTCAGCTTGATCATCATCCAAGGCCCTACATCCACGGTTGAGACTTGTCATATAAATTTCTCCATGTCAGTCTATTTTAGCCTTTTTTAGTTTAAAGATACTTCAGTTGATGATTAGGTAATCAAGAGTATCCATTGCCAAAATACTTTATTGACATCTCTTTCTTTTACAAAGAGAAAGAGAGAAATTACCATGTTTTTATTCATTCGTGTGTTTTAGTTGTATTAAAACGACAATTTATTATCAGTTTGCATGAAAGGTGAACGCACTCTACGTTTTTTTTTTACAGTTTTTTAATGTTTCAAAACATTTTATTTCCAGACGGATATGAACATTAGTGAAGAAAAGAAGGAACCGCTAAGAAAATATTCGAGGGATCAAAAGAAGAAAATGTTAGTTGCCTACAAATTTGTTAATGCACAGGTTTGTTTAGATTTTTTCCTTAACAAACAAATTAACCCTTCACCACCTAAAAAAATGCTATGCCTTGGCTTCTTATTTTCACTATTTATTTTATTTAGAAACAGCATGCTAATTGTTTGATGAAATCGTGTTTTTAAAGTAACTACATTTCACATAAAATAACACTTCTATTTTCAATTATTTTTATCTTCAAGAATGCTTATTATTTAGTTTGCTCGAGTGTTTATTTTTTATTATTTTACAATTTAACGTACGTAAGAAATATAACGAATTTTCACTAATTCTTTTATAATCTCGATAACTTATATATTTAAAAATTCTTTCCAGGAAGGTCGTTCTAAGTTCGAGAAGCCATCAGACTATGTATCCTATTTGAATCAACCAGAGCTGTCAGTGGGCAAGCTTCACGGATGCTTAGAGAATTTGAGGATAGCGCTCACCAACAACCCGTTGTCATGGATACAGGAGTTCGGCACTAAAGGCATCGAGAGTCTACTCACCACGTTAAATATCTGTTATACAAAGTAAGAGTACATACAAGTTGTTATAGGTCCTTTGCTAAGATGTTTATATTACTGTTTCTCGCGACTCCGCGTGAAATTAAAAAAACAAGAGATGTATATGTTACTCACTGATAACGTAGTTTTTGTTTGTTTTTAGAAATTGGCCCAGTAGTTTTTGAGTTATTTCAATAAATAAAAAATACGAATCTTTCTTCTTTATAATATAAATAATATAAATAATATAGAAAGGTATTTTTTAACGTTTACAGTAAAATCTAAACCTTGTTATTTACATTTTTTTCACGCAATCAGTGGTAGGGGATTTTACCGGTAAGTGTGTTTAAAAAGTTTAAAATAACATAAAATCATAAAGATAACATCGATATTAAATTCAAATTGGACTTCAAGATTTTACCGGAAATAAATGGTGTCAGTTCTATGCTTTTTCTTAGTTCTGTTAAATAATAGGCCTCTTTCTCTTTGCAGTGATGCTCGTTACGACCGCGTGCAGTACGAATGTATCAGATGTTTGTCGGCCATACTCAATAATACGGTCGGTATCCGCACCGTGTTTGAATGCCGGGAGGCGCTGCCCGTGCTCGCGCGCAGTTTGGACGCGCGCAAGCCGCACTGCGCACTGGAAGCGGCAAAGGTAACCATGGCAACGATGCTGTTACTATAACAACGTGACTGATGACCGCTAGTTTACGCATATTTTTTGTGTGATAGTCGTAATCAATTGACCACGGAATAACTGTACAGTCGCGGAATTCCGCGGTGTTCTACTTTAGAAAATTGCCTTGTTCGTACTAGACAAACTACGCTTCTTTCTAGAACTAACTAAGTAGATAAAGAAAAAGAAAATAGCCGTGTATTATTATTTTTTCGTACACGCACATTTATAAGCTGCGTTGTATTGGTTTTTGTTCAGCACCTCAAGATTTTGGGATGGAACACCGATTGTTTCACCGATTGTACATACAAGCTTATGGAACATACAAGATTATAGGAATACTATTGTAAAATTTAAAGATATGTTATTTTATTGCAGATTGAATGATTTGTATTTATTTTTATCTTTCAGGTGCTGGCAGCTATCTGCCTTATCCCCAATGGTCATGAGAAGGTGCTGGAAGCGATCACGATGGCGGGCGAGTCGAGCCGGCGGCCGCGCTTGCTGCCCATCGTAGAGTGCTTGGATAATAAATCTCCAGAGAGTTTAAAGGTAACTTTATATGCTGTACATTGAGTGTTCTGCACACGAAGTGTTTTAATAGTGCTGACACTAAAACAGTAATCGATAGGATACATTGCTCCCAGAATGGCTGTTTCAGAAGGTTCTAGAATGAAGACTATACTAAGGTTTTTTTTTATAATTTCGTTACAATGGTGTGACCAGTGACAAATTTAAGTACTTAGTTTAACATCAAGTAAATTTCACTGTGAACATTATTTGTATTAAAATAAATACTTTTTTAATATCTTTTAGTTGGGTCGTAAATTAAATTCCTTGACTGTACCGGCTGCTTTTTAATATTTTTTTGTTACATTTTTCAGAATGGTTGTATGCAACTGATGAATGCCATAATCACAGAACCCGAAGAGTTGGAGTTCAGAATGCACTTACGGAGCGAGTTTATGAGAACTGGACTCTATGATCTTATTGGTAAGGTCTACTTTTTTATTTTCCCCACGTACATAATTTTTATCTTGAGACTTTTAGAGACATTGTATTAATATGAATTGTCGCCTAGCCTACCTTATTTTTAAAAAGCACTAATTGTATTCTAGAAAGATTCTGAGATATGTTTGTTAATTTATATTTAGATCAATATATATATAGGAGTCTTGCTCTGTCTATCCTTCTGGATTATGGGCGTGATTTGTTTTGTGTTTTTTTTAGACGAATTACGTGCGGCTGCGGAGGGCGCCCGACAGATTCAGATGAATGTGTTCGACACACACGCTTCCGCGGACCAGGACGAGTTCCTTGCCAAGTTTGATGACGTCAGGTGAACTATAAACTATCGTACTCACAGTTATTTGGTCACTAAGGAGACCTATAATGTAATACAGATTAGTTTTTAACCGAAGAAATTAAAAAAATAGAGTAAGAATTATCATTGACACTTCATTTGAAACGTTTTTCACCTTACCTAAATAGTGCTACCAGGTATCTGATATTCAAAATCAAAAATTAAAAATAATTCAATGAGAAGCGTCTCGGCGTGCCATATTTACTATTGTCATAGTAACGTGCAGATAAAGTACCGGTGAAAAAATGTTGTTCCCAATGTCTCGTCTATATCTTTTTTTTTTATAATATAAGGTGGCAACCGAACAAGCTCCCGCCTGAATCCACCGAAATGGAAAGCGACCGCTGTCCATAAACATCCGCAATAGCAGATGCGTTGCCTATCCTTCATTGGAGGAGACGCACATCAAGAGGACATTTCCCCTTCCTATGCGTTTCCTCCACCGTCAAATCCACTTTATCTCAAATCTATCTTCCTTGAATCTTTGGTTTCAACATAATAGAGTCTTTAACTTATATGTTTAAACTTCAGGGTTGATTTCAATGACGCCAATGAATGTTACGAGCTGGTGAAGAACCTGGTGATGGACACGCCGGCGGAGCCATACCTGCTCTCCATACTGCAGCATCTGCTGTTTATACGAGATGATGAGTTAATAAGGTAAACAGTAATTTATAAAATAAAATAATTAAAAAAAACATTGATTTCCCCAAAGAGTAGGGGATTTGTGTCCAAACTAGGGTGGTACCCTGTGTGATTACCAGGCACCCGCATCACCGACTATAAAGAAATAAATAAATGTTACAAATTTATAAACATTCAGGGCCTGTCCCATCAAATTGTAAAATGAGATGGAAATATCGGATTTTGTTACCTTATCTGATAGTGATGTCATTTTAAAGCTCTCTTAGCCTGTATCAGCCAGAGGTGGGACTGACCCTAAAACATTTTAAGTAAACCTTTTGTACATAAATGATGAGGTATGAGTGAGTTTATATTTTTAGCCTTCTTGTTAGAAACTTTGTGCATAATGTTGTACATACTAATATTTTTTTCTTTAAAAGGTTGTACTAAATTCAAATTTAAAATAAGGGAAATATGAAAAGATGTTAAGTTACTTAATGTGAGTTTCTACATTTTTTTTCAGGCCGGCGTATTACAAGTTAATAGAGGAATGTGTGACGCAGATAGTGCTACATAAAAACGGCTACGACCCGGACTTCCGCGCCACGCAGCGGTTCAACATTGACGTACAACCACTTATTGATGGACTGATAGGTTTGTTAGATAACTAATATAGTAAACATGCACTTTTTACGTAGGATGTCAGCAATCATAACATATTTCTTAATAGTGTTTTTTTATTTAAGGACATGCTATAGGATATATATTTTTATGGTCTTTAATTTTGGGCGTTAATAAGAGGGGAAGAAAATTCAAGCCAATAGCAGCAATGAGGATTTTAATAAAATCTTGTATTTTCAGAGAAATCTCGTGCGGAGGAAGAGCGTAAGATAGAGGAGCTGAAAGGCAAGCTGGAGGCGGCGATCGCGGCGCGGCAGGAGGCGGAGGCGCGCGCCGCGCACCTGGAGGAGCGCCTCAAGCAGGCCGCCGCCCCCACCGGGCCCGGCGGCGTCTCGCAGGGGAACATCGCCGCCATCGCCAAGGTACATTGCAAACTGACACACAACGCGATTTTGAACTAATAATTGATTAACAATTCCTACCTCTGAGTTCCGTCATCGGACCACTCGACAGACCGCCAGGTGCCATCCACTCCATCTCAATGACTAGCATTCTACGATCGCGCGGTTTTCGCGAAAATTTCTGCATCACACAGCCGCGTTGTGAAACGGTCTGTCTTTGGCGGTATTTCCAAACCGGTACGACTTAGGGTCCTTCAAGAAGTGAGCATATCCCTTTCTCACAGGCCAGTATAGCATCTAGAGCCCCTCTGGTATTGCGGGTGTCTATGGGCATCAATGATGTAACAAAAATACTATAACTGTCTATGATTGCACCATCTATTGGGTATAGTTGAGTCAACTACATCGGTCCTGTTGTTTTACGATGGCGTTTATCTGGCCTTTTTTAATTTGGTTAAAAATATGTATTTTCATGATTTTGCAGGCAATCGGAAGTCCCGGAGGACCGCCTCCACCACCTCCGCCTCCGATGCCAGGAGGTAATTATCTATTTCCTTTTTTTTTTTAGAAAATCATTATTGCATTTTATGCTTATGTTTAAAATAACACTAAAAATACTGCTATCGCCTAAACATATAAAAGTAAAGCAATATTAATTAACATTTTTATAACTTTGTTCTTTTAAATTTTTGTGGTGAAGGTTTCTGATTTTCGAATGCATTTATCTATCAAATAGTAATTTTTATCATGCATTTGATTTGATATATAAATTTCACTTATACGTAAAATAAAAAATAAGTGATATAGTTTATACATATTTAAAATATACATAAATGTAATAAAATATCACGTCTATAAATTACTTTATTCTTATAAAGTTTTTATAACAACTTGACTAGAAGTTGTTTTTTTTATCGATCTAATTAACAACTTAAATATTTTATTATAAATAACACAGCTTTTGAATGAATTTGTACCTCACAATGGCGTATTTCGCACTGCATGCGCAATGTATCTATGTGATGTTATAGGATGCGGCCCGCCTCCACCTCCACCTCCGCCGATGCCTAAAGGTGGGTAAAATAATATTTTATTTATATTTGCACTTTTTAAAAGTTCATTGTTAACGCATGTATATCGGACTATATTTTATGTGCGTGCATGAATTAATAAAAATGCCTATAATATAAATTAAATCACTCCAAAACCATTAAATGTTGATACTATGTCCGCAGATTTTTGACAATCTAAGTCTAAATTAATTCAACAGAATTTAAAAAGTTATAAAACTACAAGTAGAGACAATAGCTTTTCGTAGAGTGAATATTCTTTTAGATTTTCACTAAATCACACATAAATTTATATTTGACATGTACAGTTTTTCTTGTTTTTATGTAAAATTTTTGAGCTTACTCGACCTAAATAATAGTTTCAAAAATTCACAATAAACTGAAATATTTCTTTGTATGTTCCAGGAGCTGGCGGTCCCCCGCCCCCGCCCCCACTGCCGGGTATGGGCGGCCCTCCACCGCCTCCACCTCCGCCAGGCTTCGGGCCTCCGCCTCCGCCACCCATGATGGGTGGACCACCTCCACCTCCGCCCTTCGGAGGCCCAGCCGTGCCTAGGATGGTAAGTGTAACTGCCACTCAGAGTTAATTAATATTCAAGCAGACCGTCTTTATATATGTACCTTATTAAAGTCCTTGTTCGGAAAGAGAGTGGTTAAAAAAGCCCCTTGTCAAGTAACTCAAGTTCTTCAAGGTCTACGAAATCTGTATTGATTAATGGACTTATTTGAGACTTAATGGAGATAACAATCGTTAGATTAGTATTTCCCTAAATTTTATTTTAAAAAATAACGTATAGGATGCATTAACTATGAATGTAACGATTTACAGCCACAACCAGACATCCTGCCTCATGGTTTAAAACCCAAGAAGAAGTGGGAAGTGGAAGGTCCCTTAAAGAGAGCTAACTGGAAAACAATTATACCACAGAAGATGTCGGAGAAAGCCTTCTGGGTCAAGGTAAAAAATATTTAAAACACAATATTACAATACATACATTGAAAAATGGATAAAAAATAGGAATTGTTCAAATAACAGGTGCAAGAAGACAAACTGGCGTCTCCAGATATACTCACAGGTTTGGCGCAGAAGTTCTCAAGTAAACCTGTCGCTAAGAAGAATGAAGATGCTGTCGATAAGTGAGTTAAAAACATTATTATACTAAATTCTTATCCAATGTTGGTATTATATGTCCATAAATCTTAATAACGAAGTTTTACATAACCCTGTCAAAACCCCCATCCTCTCATGTCATCATTGTCTCTTTTTCTTAAAAAAAAGATAGTTCCTATATCTGATGTTTCAAAGGTACAATGTGAATTGCAGAGTGCACACGCTGAAGAAGGTGAAGGACCTGAAGGTGCTGGACAGCAAGGCGGCGCAGAACCTGTCCATCCTGCTGAGCGGCAGCCTGAAGCACATGTCGTACGACCACATCCGCGCCTGCGTGCTGCGCTGCGACACCACCGTGCTCACCGCTGATGTACTCGATCTATTAATACAGGTATATTTACTTTAAACACTATATCCATACTAATATTATAAAGAGAAAAGTTTTTTTTTTGTATTCATTGAAATAACTCTAAAACTACTGGGCCGATTTAAAAAATTCTTCACCACTAAAAAGCTACTTTATCAGTAAGTAACACAGGCTGTATTTATTAATTTTACGTGGGCGAAGTTGCCTGTGCGGAATTTAATAATTTAGTACATTGCATGTCCTTCGAGACTATTTTCTATATCTGCCAAAAATTGAACTCAAGGGAACTGTTTAGTCGGTACCTTTTAATAAACTTCCACCTATCTAAACTTTCGTATTTATGATATTAGTAAGATCATTCAAAACTGAAAAACAGTTTGTTGGTAATTTAATATTTTTATAAACTTCAAACTTAAAATACTTTACAATTAAGCGCAACCTTTCCGGTAAAATTAGGAAATGTGAGATTTTATTTTAAACAGTATTGAAGAACCATATTTTTTGTAATTCAGATTTTTAGAAGATTTGTAAGCGAAGATTGCTTCTATTTCGTTTTTTTTTATATATTTTTTAGAAAAATATGTACCTTTTGTTAGGAATAAAATAAGTACCGTGCTATAGAATTCGCGCAACTCTAGATTATCGGCATAAACGTCACGTCCCTAGCTGACAGCTGTCAATGTCACTAGAAGTATGGATAGATTTGGCGCGCATCCTAAGTCTTTACGAGAAGTATTGCTCTGAGTTAAAAGCGACAGTATCAATTAAATAAGTTGTCTAATACTTTCTATAAAAAAAGTAAACCTTATGGAGTGCTTAGTGAGGCGTAACTGTTAAAAATTAAAAAGTTTCATAAAAACATTTTCTTTCTAGCACATACCTCCAGCGGATCAGCTAAAGAAGCTGTCAGAGTTGAAATGCAAGAGCGAGGAGCTGACGGCGGCGGAGCAGTTCGCGGCGACGGTGGCCGACGTGAAGCGCCTCGTGCCGCGCCTGCGCAGCCTCGCCTTCAGGGAACACTACGCTGAGATTATCTCTGAAGTTAAACCGGTAACACGAAAACCATCCAACTATAATCCGAATTTTAATAATTCCTATAATGGACGTCACCAGCCGATATAAGATCAAGGTGGCTTGTAGTATCTTTTTTTATCCCAAAGGCATTTCTTTAATGAAAATGTGACAGGTTGTTTTTGATCTTCACCTGTCTATTTATCTTTGCATCACTAAAGGAAGGGATGAATTGGTGATCTGATGATTACTGTAGTAAATTTAGCAGCAATATGCTAAATTTAAAATGCCAAGACTTGATCACACTTGAACTTTCAGGATATAGTATCGGGTACAGCGGCGTGCGAAGAAGTCAAATCAAGCGGGAAATTCGCCAAGATATTAGAGCTCCTATTGCTACTTGGAAACTATATGAATACGGGCTCAAATAACGCTGGTGCATACGGTTTTGAAATAAGCTTCCTTACTAAGGTATATTTAGTTCCTAAAATAGCATACTACTTAGTTATTTTATTTTAATTGAATTAAATTCATCATAAATATGTTATTTCAGTTGACTGCAACAAAAGATCTGGAAAACAAACATACACTTCTACATTATCTAGTCGAAACGATAGAAAGCAAGTTCCCTGACGCTTTAACGTTTGCTGAAGAAATGCCTCACATAGACAGGTATTTATGAAATACGACTCGAAGGACCAGTACTATTTAAACGTATAAAATATGAAATAATTTCAATTTTCTCTATCGTTCAAGTTTAAAAGCAATAATATTTTTTCAGGGCGGCGAGGGTGTCTATGGAAAATCTTCAGAAAGCGCTGAAAAAGATGGACAATGACATAAAAGCATTGGAAATGGATCTGAACAACTCCCGCGTGCCGCAGAGTCCTGATGACTTGTTTAATGAGAGCATGGGCGTATCCTTTTACATTGAGATATATGTTTATGCATTTATCAACAGTTTTTATGTTTTATTTATGTTTGAACTTAAACTAGCTTTCGCCCGCGATTCCGTCAGCGTCGAATTTAAAAAAAAAAAAACAAAAATAAGTAGCCAATGTGTACTTCCAGACTATCCTCTACATCCATGCCAAATTTCATCGAGATCCGTTCAGGAGTATAGGCTACAAGCTCTAATAAACATCCATCCATCTAAACTTTCACATTTATATTTTTTTACTTTACTGTGTTTGGCAAATGAGCAACCAGTCATTGGTTTTCATTTAAATATCAAAGTGACAGCTGGGAATACACATCTTCAACTAGTGTCGAAAAATGGTCTCTATTTCTATTGTGATAAAGTATATATTTCCTAAGCGGTGTATCAGTCGTTCGCGGTGGAGGCTCGCGAGCAGTGCGACCTGCTGCATTCGATGTTCCGCAAGATGGAGGCGCTGTACGGCGAGCTGGCCGAGTACTACGTCTTCGACCCTCACAAGTATACATTAGAGGAGTTCTTCTCTGATATCAAGACCTTCAAAGATTCCTTTGCGGTAAGTGATTATGCTTTTAAAACTTGCTTATTGTTAATTATATTTTTTAAGTCAACATACTGGCTTTCGCCCGCGATTTCGCGTGGAGTTAAGAAAAGAAAAAAAGTAGCTCTTTGTTCTTTCAGATTATACTCTAAAACTATGCCAAATTTCATCAAGATCCGTTCAGCAGTTTAGGCAACAAACTCTAACAATCATCCATTCATCTAAACTTTCGCATTTATAATATTAATAAGCAGTAAGATTTCGGGCCTGTTCCACCAAATTGTAAATTGTCTGATAACAATCTGTCTGAAAATATCGGATTTTGTTCCCTTATCTAACCTCTATCAACCAGTGATGGGACAGGCCCTAAATGAAATATTGTTTAAAAAAGATGCTTTTGACCTGTGACGTCACATTGACTAAGCTATTGTATAGTCGGCGCATCAAGAGAACGTAGTAGCGCGTGAGACGGAGGAGCGCGCGCGGCGAGCGCGGGAGGCGCGCGCGGCCGCGGAGCGCGAGCGCCGCGACAGGCAGCATAGATACAAGCAGTTTGTTGACATGGAGCGCGCGCAGGACGGCGTCATGGACAGGTAACACACACACAAATGTATATATATACCGTACAAACTTTATACCGACTCGGAATTCGAAATGTATGTTAAGATGCGGAGGAAAACACTTGCAAGGATATACGCTATAAAATTGCATAAGTAATAAATTTTGAATCGCATTATACTAAATCCTGGGTCCCCAAGTAAAGGTTTTCGCCAAAAATTTCCTTATTTTTTTTTAATTTACTAAGAATTGTTTATTAAATTTCAGTTTGATGGAAGCGCTGCAGAGCGGCTCTGCGTTCAGCAGAGAGCGGCCGCGAAAGAAAGCCAACCCCAGAGTCGCAGGAGGTTAATATTATTTTATTACGAATGATTATTGTTTTATTTTGTAAGTGTAATGGGTCAAATAACTCAAATGTAAACAACAACTCAACTCAATAGTTTTGAGTGTATTTCCACCAAAATGGGAATAAACCATGGTTAATATTTTTCCAACCTAAACAAAAAAAATATACTCTGTGGTTTTATAATCTGTATTTGATGTGTCGTACTGCCGCACACTGCGATAGAACACATACATAGTGACGTAATGTTGCACGCACACATAGAGGACGCGTGTGAGGAGGAGAGCTTGGTGCAAGCGATATTGCAACGTATTGCAGGTACTAATCATACAAAATACAAACAAATTCCTATGCACATTTGTTTGAAATTTTTTACTAGTAATTATGTATAGAGTTGTAATGTATAAAGAGATTTCTTTTTTAATTTACCTTTTTTAGCTGCAATATGAAGTTATATTCCCACTTTATTAAAATATAAATACACCGTTGCTTCGCAATACACAATAATAGTGATATTTTTTTAATTCTTTTTTGTAATTTTGTGGTATTTTAGAAAAATAATACTTTCACTGCTTTTTTATCAACATATTTTTAGCGCAAAATATGATTTTAAGTTTTGTTAACAAAATTAAGGTTATGTTTTAAAACAGCGTAATTACGTTGTATATCACAGAGTCGGCGAGATTGCGTTACGGACGGTCTTCTAGAAGGAATCGACGGTCATCGTCTCCCAAGCTTGAGACATACAGACAAGTGATATTAATGTTTATAGGCTTTCGATGTTATTATTCACACCGATCTACAAGAAATACTGAACGACCATTATTTCTATTGCTATTGAAACCGAACTATAGTACCTATCATTTGAGTTGGCAAGTTGGTCATAGAAGTAATGTTGATCAGCCAAATCAATTACCACTACTATAGACGAAAATATTTATTTCGGCTTCATTGTGTTCTAAAATCTATTAAATGACTAACATTTTTAATTAAGATTTTTTTTTTCATTTCATTTTATTTGTAGTTAGTCGCTGTATGCAAGTTGGGCCGTTGAAATAAACCATTTGAAATCTTACCTTTCTGTATAAGTTAGGTCGGTCTTTAAGTTGACCTTTCTTTGGAGTAAGTTAGATAAAGCTATTAAATAAGTAAATTATCTTTTAAAAGGTTTATTCATGGCCATTGCATGTTGATAGTTCATATAGTTGCAATGAACCTTCTGCTTTAGATGTTGTCTGTGTTTATTTCTTTTTCCTCATAAATAGAAATTAGTATAAATCGGAATATATTCACATAGTACAATATGCTCCTGAGAAAGTTATGGTTGTCTAGGCTTTAGTCAACCACGCTGGCCCACTGCGGGTTGGTTGACTTCACAAATATCTTTGAATTTCTTCGCCGATATGTTCAGGTTGCATCATGATGTTTTCCTTCATCGCCAATAAATTAATGAAGTAAATTTAAAATAGAAATTGTCTTTTGTATCTATAGCATATATTACCGAAATTTTAATTTATTTGTCAAAGAGATAAATATAAGGTAATTAATAAAATATAAAAATATTTGCAGCTGAACGACGAGCCCAGCTGAGTAGGTCTCGGTCCCGCTCCGGTCTCACCGGCCCGCTCACCTCCAGAGAACTCACCAAGTAAGCCACACTTTGAATTATTTAAAACTAGCATTCGCCCACGACTCTAACTGCGTGGAATTAAAAGAAAATAAATAGGAGAAGTCTATGTATTCATCCAGACTATCCTCTGTCTATGTCAAATTTTATCGAGATCTGTTAGGTCGTTTAGGCTATAAACTCTAACAAACATCCATCTAAACTTTCGCATTTATAATATTAGTAAGATTAATGAATTTTCACTAAGGTGGATCCTCAATGTAGTAATGAAACAATAATCAGCAATTATTAGCTAATATTAGTACACACTTATATTATTTTGCTCAGTTTATTCCTAAGTTTAACTTTATGCCGTGTTTATTTGTAAGGCTGTATGTATTCTAGTATATTGTCTTGTTTACCATATATAAATAACTCTGTTGAGAAGTTCTAGAGATTAGCAGCAAAACTTTCGTTATATTAGTAAAGGTTATATGTAAAAGAACGTTGTTTTCTTCCAGTGAGCTGCTAAGCAACGCGTGATGATACAGTGATATTAGTACTGTAATATTGTAGTTTGTAAGCGCTTATAAGATATAATATTGTATATTTATATCTTTATATGTCCTTGTCATGTGATAACTATGAGGTTTTTGACCTATGGTGCACTAAAAAAGTTAAACATCTGTAAAATTATGAATTTAAAATTGATAGAACATAAAGAAAATGTAATTTATAAATTTTTAAAATAAATTATCTAGTTTCGGAACTGTTTGTGTAGGCACTATCAATCTTAACCGGCAGGAGGTAGACTGAAAAATTTGTGTCTACCCACTCAATTGATTTAACAATCATTTTTATGTAAAACATATTGTTATCCCAGTTTTTTCAAAGGAAACGAAATGGACAAAATGTTTTAATACAAATGGTCCGATGGAAACCCACATTAAGTTTTAAATAAAGTATATAAACGTAAAGTATGGTGTTAAAACATTTTCTGTCTAATTTTATTTGTTTAAAAGGCATTATAATGATATGAATATATAATTAAAATGGCCTAAACACCTCCGGGTGTTCAACTTAAAATCATCTTAAGACTTGTAGGAAATAATTATACATTGCAATTTTACTCTTAAATACAGTATCTTCCTGATATTTAGTAATACAAGCGCTTTACTAAAATTTCGTAGAAAAATATTTATATTGTTTTTCTCAACTTTATGATGAAAATAATAAAAATGTCCAACAATGTTTTAGTTGTAAGAGATTTTTAACTTGTACATAATGTATTTTTGTCGCCGATTAATTCATTTTAGTAATGTATTATTTTACTTTAAATTGCAATGTTATTTTTTTTTGTACTGTCCCATTGTCAAAATAATTTATCAAAATGTTATTTTTTATTTTGTACATCTTTAAATATGTAGAAAGATAGTTTTCTTAATTTTAAAACAATTCCACATTTTAAGTAGCACTTTTTGTTAGTAAATTTTCAATGCAAAATTTCTATCATAATATGAATCTATTTTATAATTATTACTGAAATATAAAGCCGTTTTAAATACATATCTGTCGATAAAGAATTATGTAATGGAAAATCATTTATATAAAATTCTTTGTATGCAATTTTGCAAAAATAAATCATATTGAAATCTACATTTTAGAAAATTACAAATTACAATAATTATTTTCATATTTTAATGCTTTTACAAATAACAGCAGCTTTACATTACATAATATATGTATATTTACATTAAGTCTGAAAATTTATATCGCACAAACAGAAACATATATATTTATACAGCTTTATGCTTACTGTATATTTTGATTCTTATATAAATTGACATAGACAAGTGTAACACATTATGTTTTAGTGATCTGAATTTGATATTTATTCTGTATCAACGTGTAAAACTGCCGATACGATTAAGACAGAAACATATTGCTATCTCTGTCTATCAATGAGAATGAGCGGGATGGCTATTTTTTTGTGTCTCTGAACTGGAAACTCAAACTATGCTTGCACACATCTACGTACAATATCCTTAACTTTTATATAACGAAAATAACGAAATGCACAAGTTTTATTTATTCTGTATATCTAAAAATAACATATGTACAGATTAAGTTTTTTTTTGTGCTTATTTTACTCATTCTTATAACTTTCTTTTTAAAAAGTACACGAAATATTAAGCCGATAGTTAAAAAGGGTATAAGCAATGTGATATTGCAAAAATAGCGACATCTATAGATAAATTGCCCTGTCCATTAATGTTATAGTTTTCATATATCATGGGGGCTCTTTACTTCATACCGCCAAGGTGTTTCGTAACACTAAAACAGCCATTTAACAAAATAAATTATTTAAAAAAAAAAAAAAGTAAAATACGATTCATTTTGCGGTCCAAAAATATAATTTTTATTTATAATTTTCCTAAAACTGGGGTCTGTTATTTTGTAGCAAATAGGATGTGATGTCAATAAAAATAGGCTTAAAAATTATTTTAAAAAAATTCGTCCGATTGTATTATATTTGTATTTCAAGATGCCAAGTATTTTAACTTCGAATAAATTGTGGACCTTTAAAAATGTAATTGTTTAACATAACTGATTTACATTTTGTAATTGTTTTAAATTGTAAGTTATGTTTAAAATTAACTCAAATATGAAACATATTGTCAATGTGTTCTGACTATGGAAACAGACATAAAAACATGTTCTATATCTAAAATCTGAGATTCTTAGGTAAATGTTTCGGCAGTGAGAACGCATCGTCAGTTCCTTATTTGTGAAAATTCTTAATCCTTGTATGTTTTAGTTGTAAAATTGCATTTGTTCTCTTCTACACAGTGCGTTATCGCCTATAAATGATGTAAATTTTACTTTAAAAATGTTTTAAATCAAACTTACTTTAGTTTTTTCTATATATTGGTTATAGAGTATGGTATACATAATATTATTATACATGTAAATATATTTTTGTAAAATGTTACATTTTTAATTGATTACAACGTTTTTGAAACTTTTTAGTTGTTTTTATTTGTGTTTGGCCCATTAAAAGGAAATCAGTCTGGCATTTTATGTATGTTTGGTATTTTGGTAAGTGTTGAAATTAAAACAAACATTTTATAGAAATATTTACACTTTATTTTCGTTTGATTGTCATTTCACTTGACAATATTTCATCACATTGCAATATTACAATAAAATAAAATCATTCCATTGATTTTGTTTGTTTCGGGATTTAATAATATGATTTAAGTTAAACACTGAAACATATGCAATGTGAAATAGAATCAGTCAATGGAAAACTTCCATCGGAACAAAATAACCTTCCTCAGAACTTACATTACCTTTCTAAAATAAAACCTGCACACAACAAAACATTCCTTACAACATGTATAAGATCCACATTTGTTAACGTCAAAATTCATCAAAGAAAATAATTATTTTTAAGACTGCATGAACCTCCCCTTAATTAAAAAATCTATATATAACTCTATAATACAAAACATCTTCTTTTTGGCATTTATATAGTACAAAATGTACAATCACGGCGACACAAGTATGTATACAAAATTGTTGACATTATCAATTATTCCTCATAATCATAATAGTTAACAATTTTCATATCCATTTTTGTGGCCAAATACATAACAAAGCGTATTGTTTTAGTTATTTTATATTTAAATACTAAAAATGAAATGACTAATGAAAATAAGAGAAAAATAATTTTATAGAAATTAGTAGTAGTTATTAGTATTTTACTTTTAAAGCAAAAATGATAAGTCTCCTGCAAATAAATCATAGAACATTTTATAAGTTGACAAAAATCATCAATAGAGTAACCAGGAATATAAAAATTTTGGCTTTGTTATCAAATGTTAAATTGCTTTGTTATAAATTCCATATTTTCATGCATAATGGCAAGGTTTTCTATATTCCTGGTCAAACTATGATTGTTATAATAGCAATAAAAGGTATATGAGATAACTCTTAAATTCGTTACAGGCTTCCAGTGACTACCAATTAAACCTTATTTTTTATAAATTGAATTAATAAAACGATTTTAGCATCTTAACTTGTTCCCCAAAATTGATACAAAGCCTACATCTTAATATAAAACATAAGGAAAATCATTGACAATGATTACCTAAAGTTGAAAAATTTAATTTAATCACCGCACCAAAGGACATGTGCGTTCATCACAACTTGTTATTATTGACATTGACAGATAATTATTTGTCACTTGAAGCCATATTTAAAACTATAAATTCATCAAATGAACCATGTTCATTACTAAAAGTTTAAAAACCAAGACAGACCAATTTTTTAATTAGATGTTGGATAACTTTTGATAAAGAAACTCTAATAAATCACTGTTTTAGAGATGTTAATAATGAAATCTATTGATTACTAGCTGTTGCCCACAACTTAATCCATGTGGGAAAAAATAGGAAAAAAAGACCATGTTACTCAGTAGTTTGAGTTAATTTAATACATATAAAATTGTTTTCTTTTAATACATATAAAAAGTCTTTCCTCGTTATAATATTGAGTATAGATAATTTGGCATTTCTTTCATTTGATGTAGTTTTATTTTTAGTTACAAAATGTTTGTAATGTAAAATAATTTTTTTTTCGGCCTAACAGCTGGACTTATTAAGATTTTTTTTATTCTGCGCTTTAATCTTAACAGTATTCGTTAGATTCATTATTTAACCAAGGCATGTGTTACAAGAGAAATCCAACATCCAACTCATCTATGGCATTGCAAAATTATCATTTCACTAACAGCTAGAGCAATTCAGGCGGCCATTTAATTTAAGGTCTACCGCCGTTTGGAACTTTCGTAGGAAAATGACTACAAAAAATTCATAACAACTTCACATAACCTATTTATACACTATCACACTATTATATCCGCAGTCTTTTAGATTCACTATGCGATTGGACATTTATTCACAAATGTAAATGCATGCCACTGTATATATACAGGTGTGTCAACGAGAGGTATAATTCACTAATCACTTGTGTTTATCACATCACTAAGTTCACTTTCACTCATGCGTGTAGAAGATCAGCTGCGGGTTGGAGTCATCCGGAGACACCTCCAGCTGCACATACTGAGGTGTCGTCCGCGCAGACTCGTACGACGCGCCGCCGTTACGTGATAAAGAATTTCTTGATCTGGAAAGTAAACCATTATTATTTTTGTAAGATTAACTCTTACAATGTTTTCATACAACTTTTGAAGTGTATTTGTTATTAATGACAATGAAGGCAAATAACAAACATGTTAATAAGTGGTTGTCCCAAAGGAATTATGTTGATATACTACAATTCAAGAAATTAAGGTAAATGGGTTACAACAAGTGTCTGTGGTAACTCTTAATCAAACAAGAGTTTTTTAATGAGGTAAATGTAACTGTGATGGCTTTAGGTAAGTGTAAAAATGTGAAAAATCAATCATTCCACATAGTTTAAAGGCCGATTGAAGACAAAGCTACGAGATATTAAAAGTAAGCAAGTTGTAGATTAAAAAATATATATTATATAGAGGAATGATTTTTTTCCTGAGATTAGTAATAATAAATTATTTACAAGGAAATAAAAAATAAACTTGATGGTATAAGACTTACTTGGCCTTGGCGTGTGTGAGTATGTGCGACTTGAGATTGGTGCTCTGCGCGAACTTCTTGTTGCAGCCGTCGAATGGACACACGTACGGTCGGTCGCCCGTGTGGATGCGCACGTGAGTTCTGAAACATTTATATACAATATTCACTATTCGAAAAATGACATACATTTCATGTTATTTAATACAGAGTTTCTTAAACGTTCTACTTTGTTTCATCATCATCAGCTCTCTACACATCTCCCTGAGGGACTCTGAGCCTACCATAAGTTACTTTGTTGACCCCTTTCACAATTTTACTGGTTTCAATGATCCTTCTCTTTCATTTATTGCTGGTAAGAGTAGTGGTTTTAAGAAACACGCATTATTTAAACAAATAGTCTTAGTAATTATGAAACAGTTTTTGATTTTTAATTTTTTATAACATTTTGGATCTCGATTAAGGCCGAGTATACAGTGTACGAAACAAGTTAAGGAGACAAGCAAAAAATAACAATGTTTTACTTAACCTTTGTACATTGTAACTGTCTAGCAATGATTTTTCTCATTCTTATAGTGAATACGTTAAAAAGATGTTACCTTAAATTGAAATCGAGTGAAAACCTCTTGCCACAACCCTCAAATGTGCACTGGAAGGGTTTCTCCCCCGTGTGCACCAGCTGGTGACGCTTTAGCTTTGAACTCTCCACAAATGCCTTTCCTGTTAACGTAACATATGAACAAAATTAAATCACATTAACAAATGTTCATACAAAACAATCGATAACTTAGAAATTTGCCAATGATTAGAATTATTATTATAGAATCATTTAAATTTTACCATAACATTTAAGCCCATAACATAGAGATACAAGCTAAGTTTTTGTAAAAAACACTACAAAAAGCATGCATCATCTATGGTGGCAGTAACGGTAATTTTTGACATTTCTAATTGAGAATTTGTCAAATGTAAACAATAAAATAAAGTTTTTTATAATTCCATGTGGTTGAAGCCGCACGGGAATAGCTAGTAAAGGTTAAAGTATAGTAAACCATATAAAAACGGTAGGAACTAACCACACTCAGCGCATACATGTACCCGGGGTCCGTGCGTGTGCAAATGCTTCCTCATGGCGGAGTTGTCGCGGAACATCTTGGTACAGCCCTTGTGTGGACACGCTGTAATATAAATATAATCCATTTAGTAGACAAATATTGTAAATGAAGTAATTAAAAAAAAAGTTGAGAAAAAAGAAACAGAAAACACGATAACATTACACAGCTATTTGATAATTTTATTTTATATTTATAACATAATTAATTAATTAACAGCAAGATATTGTTTTATTTCTAATAATAACTTTACGGTGGACTAGAGTATTTCATAATTGTACTTATAACCAACATATTTCAATAAAAAAAGATTATCCTTTACTTAAGCAACTTTGTAAAAATAGAGACGGGATATATACAAATACAAATTACATATCATTATTCTTTTCAATTAATTTATTTAAACTAATGTTTTAAAAACATACCTATAGTTCTATCAGATGACTCTGGCAGGGGTTTCTTTAGTCTTAACTTATGTCCGGGTCTCGCAAACTCCGCCAACTGCTTTGGGTCTGATAGATCTAAACCTGAAAATGTTTTAGCAACAATTTATTCACAATTAAAATATTTGTTCCGTAATTATAATAATGTTCCATCAAAAATACTAAACCATGTCACAAGCAAAACAACATGTGCTTGTAGTTTTATATCCACTTTTCATTAGGTAATTTCCATGCAATATAATAAACAAACAGTAACCTGGCATAGCCTCATTGCCTATAACAGTCTTCTTGCCCGTCATATACTCCGTGTAGTCAGGATCTGGCTCTGGATTTGATCCATCATCTGACAACAAAACAATACTTTTTACATTAATATTTAAAAATTTAGGCAGCAACTTCATCAGCGCAGAATAAAAAAAAAAAAGACTAAGTTTCCTGCACACATATACTAACTTTCTATAAAAGTCCCGACAAATTTGGTCCAAATGGATTCAGAATAATAGTTAAAAGTTTTAAAGATTACATGTTCACAAAACATCATTTATTTAGACATTACACAGAGATTTCCGATTTCATTACATTAAAGTATGTTCAGTTTAGGAAATCCACAATAAACAACTAAGTACGACAGCAACAAACAACTATGGTAGTGTGACATATCAGTTATCTTAGATTCATAAAATACAGTATAATGTAAAAAAATATGATAGCTGATAGAAATGTATGGAAGAGCAGTTCATAACATGCCGATCCTTGATAGAGACAAGGGAAAGTTGATAATAATATAAGATAAGGCGGTTATTTTAGAAACCGCACGAATAGTGAGGAGGTTCCTGTCTCTGCAGCCCTGACCACTAGTTGCTTGAGTCATCAGATTCCGCAGAAGGTGGACTTTTATATTGTTATTTTTTTTATAAAAAATCATGTGAAATATGTTATATATAAAAATAAGAAAATAAGATAATACTTAAAAAGCATACCATCATCCTCGCCTGTTGCCCACATAGTGACAGAAAATTCTCCCTCCATAGTTTTAATCTGTACTTGTTTTTGTTCCCAGCGCCGCGTAGCGCTGCGGCTCGCGTTCACACCCTCCATCAGACCCATCGGCACCTCACCTGTAATACAATGTTCAATCATTAAAACAATTGTACAAAATTATTTTAGTGATTATACAGAAAAATAAAGCACTACATATAATTTAATTTAAAAAGAACTCACCAATGGGCATCAGGTGATGGATGGTATTCGCGTTGTTTGTGTTGACACGGCCGCGACCTCGGACTCTGTTAGAATATTTTATTAAAACATAGTCAAAAACAATGATTATCGGCAATGTTCAATTAGTCTAACCAAAAATATGAAAACCATGTCTGGGTGTTCCAAATGGTTTCATTATTGCATAACTTTTTAATGTACACAACACATACCATGAATTATATTTTTCCACCATATGGCAGATTTTCTATCTACTGTTTTGAATGTAACAAACATTCTTTTAAACAATGGTTACCTACTACTTGGTTTCTGTAGTAAATGTTAGATACCTTGCATTGCTTGTAGAAGGTGGTGCGGTGTACACTTGTTCATAGGGGTTGTCAGCGACAGGGTGCAGGACTTCCTCCCCTGATATGCCGGGCAATATCACTTCTTCATTGCCAACTGAAATTTTATAATCTGTCAGCAAAGCCGACATTGCTTGTGTGAATTAAGGGTTTAAAGAAAACCTGTGGAGAATGAAATTGCAAGCAAACAATTATTAAAAAGCTTTTGACATATGAAAAATCAATGAAAAAAGTAATCAATGTTAATTGACTGTGACCATTTAATTAAAACCAAAAAAGTCCTTTTTTATATTTCTCTACTAGCAATGTGTTACAATTCCATATAATATGTTTTAGACATATAAGTCTGGCTAATGTAAATATTATAGTTTACATTAAGTGAATTGTATGAAATTATTTTCAACAATGTTAAGTGTACGGACAATCCCAGGAGATATCACACCATGCTTACCCTCCTCCAAATGCTGCATACCAATAACCTGCTCCTCAACCTCCTCATATTGATCATCTGTTATGTACTCTTCATATTGACCTGTTTCTATCTCTTCATACTGAAAATTATAATATGTACCATATTATCTACACTAATAATCTTCATTGTGTATTTAATATTGAATATAAGAAACATTTCATTATTAAAATGCTACATTATCCCTGAATAATGTTAAAAAACTAAATGTTGCCATGTATTAAACAAGTATGGATCATGGGGTCTAATTAATGTATGATGTATTCTTGACTAAAGGCCAATGAACTTTTCCTCCTCAAACATATATTTAGAATTTTACACAAATTTAGGGAAAATGTATAATTATTCGCTGTTTAAAGTAATAACCACAAACAAGTAGACATATTTTCATCATTCTGTTTCCTCTTACTTTTATATCAGTACAAGATAATGAAATATTACAATAAAGGTAAAAATACTTATAATTTTCATATAAATAGTTTAAAAGTGTACCTTAACGCCCACTTGGTCATCATCTATCTCTACCATACCACCATGTGTCCCAATCTCTACTTCACACATTATCTCTTGGTTCATCATTTTGGGGCACTGAAATTGCAAACATATTTTTGGTTAACAATTTAAATAAACAACAAGAAATCCTGTTAGTGAAATAATAGATTATTAACATTATCAAGAGCAAAACAAGTAGACAATATTAATATAGTAAGTGACTAACTTTTCAATTTTTAAGATAACCTTTCATTTGTCTATTACTGAATATTTTGATATATTATTTTTTTTTGCTTAAGAATTTTGATTTAACCAAAACATATTGTAAATTAGTTATTTATGGCGGTTGTGGAGTCAGCAAACATTCTTAAAGATTTTAATACTAATACTCAAATTCAAGTCATTACTTACTTCTACCTAATTGTGATTATATTAATAATAGGTGTGAGGGGTTTTTAATCTTTTTAAAAATTTAATCTTACATAAATCGGTCCCTAATAAGGTCATAAGAATTGATGTTTTTTAATTAATTCCATGTTAATTTACTTAATTAAAACTAAACTGTTTATACCTTTTTTGCAAATTGCGGTTTACGATGTTACGTAAAAATATACAGCTATAGAATTGATAACAATGTTAATCACATTATGTAAACAAAAAATATTTATTAGGTATTTTATATAACATTTTTATATACTAATGACAAGTAAAAGGCAGATGACACACGCCCATGCCTATCAACAAACAAAAAACTTTATCAGTGCACTTCATTGGTAAACACGTATGAAGAGTTAAGAGTATTATGACAATGTAAGAAGTGTTTAAACCTGTATTTATGTTGTATATTTTTAGATTTGAAAGTGCGTGCAACGGTAAAGGTCTCAAACATTTATATTTATTGTTATTAACCCGGTAAAACTGGTGGTGTAATAGCACTTCTACAAACTAGTTGTGATATCACGTTACAATGTATCCGATTTAGGTAAATGACCATTCAAATTATGATTACGTTCATATGTGAGAAAATATGATTAGTAAATGCTTTATATACTGCACGAGAATTTTAAAATCAGCTATAATACACAGCAGGTGCGACTGTCGGGAACCGGCCGGGTATCAGAATTGTATTTTTTAGATAATTAGTAAAACGACCACGCCAATCTCTTACAAGACAAAACCTCCTATCTTATGACCTTCATTCAGTCACCTTTGTAATACGCCCTGACACGTAAATACATAGAAAATTCAAAACACTTGTTACAATGTGTCAATGACTACGATTGTTTTCGGTGAAAATAGTTTACCTTTATTTAGCTTATAACAAAAGCTCCACGGTCCCCAGGAGACAAATATGGGCTGTTGCGTAGGCACAGAATTTTTCCGGACAATTTTCACTGCAATCAATACTATACACTTCAGTGAAAAAAAGTTTAATAATTAGTGTCCGAAAATATTTGAAATTTACGCGAAAATGTTTATAAAATATGTCCGACTAAACATGGCGTCCAAAGATGTCCGACCAAATTCAATATGGCGAAGGAAAATGGACGCCCACTCGCTTGCTCGACTCGTGGAAAAAAGCTGCCACACGCAACAGATATTTTTAAAAACTTGAACCGGTTGATGTTGCTAGCATTAAACTTTGAATGCTAATGTCATTTTGTTTTCTAACATTTAGAACGCTTTGTATCTTGAAACAATTGGATAATGTAAAATGTAACATGTAATTTAGATTTTGGTACTATAAGAATTTTTAAATTGCAAAAAAGTGACTCAAAAGTTTGTTGAAATGAATCTCGTGACATTTGGCGATTTTTGACACAACACAAAAGCGCCATCTACCAAAACAACAGCTGTCAACATTTTTCAGTTTCTTTCCTCACTTCCTGCGATTATTTAACACCATAAAATCATAAAATTAAGAACTCAAGAATGGCCGTAAGAATTCTATCAAGATTGGTACTGCCAGAGATAAAAGGCGCAGCGTTCGTCAGCTCTGCGGCAGCACCGGCTACTTTATCCGACTTCGATGTTCAACATAAAACTCCAGTGATCAGGAAGCAGAAGCTGATTCCTAAAGCGCAGTATGGTGGACGGCACGCTGTTACCATGTTACCTGGTGGAGGTATTGGACCGGAGTGCATGGGCTATGTTAGAGACATTTTCAAGTGAGTTAGCTAAAATTATCTTGACATTACTAGAAATAATGGCACTTGTTTAATTGAAAATTTAATTAAAATTACTAACAAGAGCTTGGATGTTCCAAATATGTTGCCCGAATCCGATGCTATGCTTGTGGTGTACATTCCATCATCATTAGCACATATATGTCTTGAGAGAGGTGCTCAGAATATTGCATATAACTTTATGGTTATTGTACTAGTCTAAGTAATACCAATGTTTACATATTTTAGATACATTGGTGCCCCAGTTGACTTTGAGGTAGTTGATATTGACCCAAATGTTGACAATGATGATGATGTGCAGTATGCTATCACAACAATTAAGAGGAACGGTGTTGGCCTAAAGGTATGCAATTTTCTTATTCTCTGATTCTAATACTATAGCGATTTAGAAATCTGTGGTCTCTACCTACCTCTCTGGACATGAGTTGTATCAATGTTAATGGAAATGTTTTTCAAGAGTAGGTTCTCAAATATGACAACATATACTAAGTTGGTTATTGACCATAGAATCTTACTAAGTTTAATGTATTTTATTCTCTTATTTTAATTTTTTTGCCAATTACATTAGTTGACACATCAATTGTTTCAGGGTAATATTGAAACGAAGAGTGAAGCCGCATATGTGACGTCACGTAATGTCGCGCTACGTAATGAGCTAGACATGTATGCATATGTACTCAACTGCAAGTCCTTCCCTGGAGTATCTACAAGACATAAGGATATTGACATTACTATTATAAGGTAGCTATTTGTTATACAAAACCTTGCTTTGTATTACAATAGCCTTTGCTTGCTACTTTAAAAAATAGCCTCTATGTTCTTGAACAGAGTATTCCACATCTCTATCAAATTCCATCCTGATCTATATAGCTATTATTGAAATACATAGTAACAAACATCCATCCAGTATATAGTATGTATCTAAAGCATAAATTATTATTCCTATCATCTTATCCTTTACACATTCAATTTATAAACAGTTGTAATATAAACGAGCAATGTAATGTAACACTTCAATTTAATGATTGTGCATTTATATGCACAATCATTAAATTGAAGTGTTATTATTAGTATTAATAATATAATATAGTAATTATTAATATTAATATTAATAGTCATTATTGACTGGATGTTCACTGAAATTTGAACTCTATTTATATGACAATAAGACTCACTATTTGTTGCTTTGCTAATTAATTATGTCTCGATACATTATTTGCCATCTTTTGTTTACAGACAAAACACAGAAGGTGAGTATGCCATGTTGGAGCATGAATCTGTCCGAGGTGTGATTGAGTCCATGAAAGTTGTGACCGCCAGCAACTCGGAGCGTGTCGCTCGCTTCGCATTCGAATTCGCAAAGAAGAACGGAAAGAAGAAGGTGTGTACTACAGTATCAAAACTGAACTAAACAGTTAGTTAAAAAAAATATAATGGTAGACAGTGATTTAATAAAAGTAATAATTTTTATGTCAACCAAACTGCTTAATTATTATGATTTTTAACTTGTAGGTGACAACTGTACACAAGGCGAATATAATGAAAATATCAGACGGTTTATTCTTGGAGACATCACGCCGTCTCGCCAAGGAGTACCCGGAGATCGAGCACAATGATATGATCATTGACAACTGCTGCATGCAGCTTGTTGCCAAGTAGGTTGATAATCTGTCTAATTTCTATAGTTGAAAGATAGTGCATTAATTTCTTTACCAATCTGTTTAATACATCATTTCCAGACCGCACCAGTTTGATGTGATGCTAATGACCAACTTGTATGGCTCCATTGTATCCAATGTCGTCTGTGGTCTGCTGGGAGGAGCGGGCCTGCTCTCTGGCAGGAACTATGGCGACCATTATGCTGTCTTTGAACCTGGCACTAGGAATACTGGTGAGACTTCATGCTTTGTTTTGTTCTGGAATAATTAGCTTGGACCATCTCTCTTGGTGCTGTTGTTTCTACCCTTAATAAGGGATAGTCTTAATTAATCTGGTCTAGTGCGGTTTCTTTAATTTCTTTGCAGTTTTTAGACAGTGTAATTTATAATAATATTGTGTAGGTACCGCGATCGCTGGTAAGAACGTGGCGAACCCGATAGCGATGATAAACGCGTCTATCGATATGCTGGAGCACCTGGGGCACCACTACCATGCGGAGCTGCTGCGGCGCGCCGTGCACCGCACCGTCAACGAGGACCGCGTGCTGACACCAGACTGCGGCGGCAGTGCATCCTCCACAGACGTTGTCAACTCCATCATAGGTAACATCGGTCATGTCGGTCACTAGACGAGTTTCACAGGTTGCGACACTTGCCCGCTAGATGGCGTTGTAATTAATACTGTAGTTTTCATTTTAAAGCCGCTAGATGGTGTTAAATTTAAAATCCATTCATATAAGGTCTTTGGTGACCTTATCTAGAAAGTAGGTTTACATCTCAATGCTTATGGTAAATCTGATCGCTTAACTCATTTAAACCTAGATAATTGAAATAAAAATTCTCAATCATGTTTTCTAAGAGAATTGACAAAATCAAAACAATCTAGGTCGCAAAAAACGTAGCTGAAGCAATTCGTCGCAACTTGTAATACATTGCCTTCTTGTCCCTGTGGGTAGTGAATAAAAAAATGTTAATTTCGATATACCTCTATAAACGCACAAGATTAAGAAACTCACATATTTAATTATCTATTATGAAGGACCGTGCCAAATGAGTATCCATACTTTTGCAGCTTTTTTGGACGAAATTAAGTTTTAGGGTAAAAAAATTATTCACTGCCCATACCATGCCCATATAAAAGTTACTAATAAGTATTTCTTGACTCCAAAGAGTTCAAAACGTAACTAATCATAGTATTATGTTAGAAAATTAGACAATTTTATTTATTTCAAACTCAAGCCAAATCGAAAATGGTTATAATTTAAAAGCTAAACAAGGATTGGTGTAATTGTAAAATTTGTGATTTTTTTCTTAGTTACCACTAAGGAACACATGAAATGTGTTACTTAAATTATAGTATTATACAAAACTGAATCTGGTATTACAATAAAACCTTGTACTAATTAAAGTTTACACACTATATGAAAAATTAGCAATTATAACAGAGTTTATCTCATATCAGACAACACTATTTTTGACAGCTGTCAATGGAACTTAAATGGAAAGTAAATTGACTATTACTAAAAATATCTTTTTCGATATTACAATACTGTATTGGTTAAATTATTTTCCAGGTTTTAAAAATTTTCTTTTTCATTTAAATTAGGGTTTTCATTTGCTGTCAAAAGTGGTCAATTTTTTATCAAAGCTGTAAACAATTAGTTGAACAACTTTTATTAGTAGTTTTTTTTTCATATGTAATATTGCTTTATCATGTATTATGAACCCTCGAATCCGATTTTATACATAACATAAATGTATTACCATTGTACTATTGTTGTTTGTTATTTATTTTGTAAATGTTTTCTTCAATAAATTCTGACATCATACATATTGTAGTTTCATTTAGTACCCTAGTGTATGTAGTGAGGTACATAACCTCTATATATGTAGTATTTAGCAAGTCTGCACTACTTTAAAGTAAGTAAATTACATTAACGCGAATTACAAACATTGTTTTATTAATTTATCTAAAACATGCAACAGACAAGGTATGATTTCTTAGTTTCCCAGTCATGTATTTATATATTCTTAATTCTTATTTTCTTACAGAAAATGCATATCTTTTCGTCAACGACATGGAAACGGAATAAAAATATTTTGAAGTCATTTGGGACATAAGTAATAATTATTAAGACAAGCCGATTAATAATGTGATAAAATGACAATAAATTATTAGATTCAATGACGGTTTTCACTAACCTTTACTAGTCGTTTATTAGTGACATTTGATATAGATGTTAAAGAGATTTAACTAAAAAGTCTTTTGAATTCTTACAGCTTTACAAAAACGCGGTATAGTTATACTTATGAATAAAGTGAATATACAAATTTTGCTTATACTCAATTTATTCTTTTACAATTCCTTTATACTGGCCCAATCCGCTAAGGGAGTGCCATAGATAAGATACTGAACTGAACTGAACAATTCCTTTTTTTTTTTAATTAAATTACAAGCAGAGTTGGGATTAGACAACGCAGTGGCATATGAGGGGAAATAAAACAATGAATTAGGGGTACGTAACGATATATTGAATACATTGTTTGTCACATAGAGATATGACATCATAGTGCGCGATCGACGCTTTTACACTTAAAAACTATGATTACACATTAATTAAATAATAACTAAAATATTACTAAAGAAAAATCATATAGAAAATAAATGCGGCAATATAAAAATTTCAGTTTTACTTTTTTTAATTCATCTGTGACTTTGATGCCAGTTGCTGGCCAATGTTCGTGTAAAAAAAAAACAATAAAGAATGCTATTGAATTTTAAATAGATTGTAAATAATCACCTTTTCCTTAAATACAATTTTAAAATTGTTTTAAGTTTATTATGGACTTGCTACTCAATTTACTGCGTTTAACGAATAAAATGAAATAATGACAAAATATGCAATTTGATCCAATTAAGTAAAAATTAAGCTTTATACGGTCAAATTAATAAAATGAAACCAGAAGATTAAACTAAAATCGGAAAGATGTAAAGCGACAGCAGGCGTTAAATTTGACGTCTTAGACAACATTTGGCAATTTTAAATTTCCTTAGCACCAAATTTGGCTAAATTCTTATTAACTGAAATACGCAAAGCTTCGATTTTTAAAACATTAATTAAGTAGTTTTCGAATATTTAAGCTGTTAAATAAAAAAAGTATAAAAGAAGGCGGTTACGTATTTTCGGTCAAAATAAGAAATATAAATCAAATGACCATAGCTTCAGATGCTGATAACTGCCTTCTTATCTTAATATCTTTATATTCTTTTGTTCTAAATGCAATTTGTCAATTATACACAATATTGTGTCGGCCTTTTCTTAGGAATGTGAGAATAAATAAAAAAATTATAAAAACTATCAATGGATGTGTTCTTAAGTATAATTGAATGTTTTAATGGATTGTCTATATAAATAGTTAAATTATAAAGTGACAGCTTAATATTTTATTCATTTAATTTCTATGCTTTTGGTTCTAATAAGATTATCTGTTGTATTTTATTATTTAAAAATTGTTAACTGAAAGACATTTAACAAAAAAAAGAAAATTTTATATTCTTTTTCTTCTTATGAAGTGTAAACATGGAATATCTTTTTAGTTGTCAATTTTTGTTATATACAATTAAGAGTACATAGCAAGTACTCGTCGTTATTGAATGATAAATGCAAAGTAAACAAAAGCCTCAGCTGCGCTTAGTACTAAATATAACTATAATAAATAGATACATAGGGCCATTTCACCACTTATTAGACAAAATATTTGTTCATTTATCTATGGTCTAATAGATACGTATCTTTAATTCGTATATAGGTCGGAAATATCTTACAAATGTACATAAGAACAATATGTTTTATTATAAAAATTAAAGCTCAAAATAGTAAAGTGGTGAATCGCGGCGAAATAGAATTACAGATAAATAATTAAAAATATATTTAAGAGTTTATCTTTTCCTCATTGGATGAGATTTTAGACTATCAGGATCAGTCTATTCGAGAAGTTTCCATCTTTTAAACTTGAAGTGATAGTGGTTTTATAATACGACGTCGGAACTGATCACAGTCAATAGATATTAAAATAGTTAAACTTATAAAACCTGTAAATGTTGAGGACCTCGCTTATAAGACAGTAATAAAACAAAACCACTAACGCTTTGGAAATAAAATAACCTATGTATTGCTAAAATTCAGTCGTTTTAAACTGACTCTACAAACAAAACAACATTTATTTATAATGGTTATCAACGATAATACAAAACCTAAACTTAAAATATAAAATCCACTTTTAGGGCAAACTATGGTATAATTAAATGGCATCAGAATCACAGATGATTTTAAAAACAATAAAACTATCGTACGAATCACATTTTTTATAATAAAATAATAACAATTTAAAATCACAGGTATCCGACAGATCATTTCACTTAAAACTATAAGGAATTCAAAATTGCGGACGGAGTCGCTAAAATGTTGCATACGAATAAAATTTTCGTCTACATTTTGCCATGTCATGCAACATTTTAGTGAATAAATGCCCCCGTCACACATTTGAAAAGGCAGATTCAGTTCCATGCAAACTATGGCATGCATTACATACTCACATACATCCTCACAAACCCTTGTTCTTATAAAATGCCTATTATATTGAACACATAGTCGCACCCCAGAACCATCGCTCGCTGCGGTCGAATGCAATACCATAGTTCTGCCGGTCAAAATAATACTGACGATCAGCTGCCTTGTAGAGAGCTTAAAATTAACAATAAATACGCAAATTAAATACAAATGATAATGACTAATTACACTGTTAAGTCGAGACAGCCGGTGTAACGTTACAGTTACGTTAAATGAATCAGTACCGAAAAAAAGCGGAATAAGGAATGCCGCGAACAACATAAAGTAAAATCCACGCGATCTACTCGCTACAACGCTACGAATAGGAGAAAAAACGGACGCACGCCCGCCAAAAATATTAAAAAACAAATAAGTCAATCGTACGCAAACGTAGAACAAAAACATACGTGCGAATAAAGATACCGCGTTCGGATACGCGCAGACAATATTCCTAACTACATAAAATTGTGTACGTATCATGAGTACGCACGTATTTAAAAACGCATACGTAATTTGAGCGTATGTTATATTAACGGTCGATTGTGACCATGTTACACTACGTTTAAATATGTCGTTACGCCCGCTACATGTTTTTTTTATTACATCGACGAACATTGAAGTAAGAGAGAGACATAGTTTCGTAGGATACACAGTGGGCGGGGGGCGTGCGGGGTGGGCAGGGTGGGGGACAACGATTACATGAAGATGGGACAAAGAGAGAGGGTCCGCTTTTTCACTGTACTGACGTGGCTCTAAAGGTTAAGGGCAGTGTTGCTTTTTGGGCTTCTTCAATTGCTCCTCGTCGATCCCGGACTTCGGTACCTATGGGAACAAGTGACATCACACAAAGTGCTTCATGGTAACTTGTGTTAACTGGTCATTTGTTGTTAGTTACACTGTTCATAACAATATTTTTTATGATATGTAACAATTATTACACATATTAGAATATTATAATTGACTATACTAATTCTTAATAAAAAAAATACTACACTACACTACACTCGTAATTTATTAAGTAAACAAGCTGATGGCCCAAATAATTACATAAAAATATAATGTTATCTGTTTTTATAAAGCAAATGAGTGGGATAACAATATGTAGTACAAGTGTGTCGTCGGTGAAAGCCCACGGTAAGTGTGTACATACCTCGGTATACCGCTCCCCCTTAAGCGAGACGATCTTGTTGTCTCGGTAGCGCACCATCTTCTTGGGCTCCATCTTGGGAGCCAGCGGCTTATGCTCCTTCGTCTCAGAGTTCTTGTCCACGTACGAATAGCTGGAATTTAAATATATCGTCGTTTAAATAGAAAAATGGCAGTATTCAAAATGTACATTACTTACAAGACAAACATATAATTTTTATTCAATTTAATTGTTCCTTTAAAGTTTTAAATTTACACAGAAGTTATATATTTTTAAAAGTACTTAGGTAATGATTAGACGGTGTGATTAATTTGACTTATAAAAGGAGGCAATTTTAAAAAATGTCATTTTACTATTACATCGAATACAATTTTCTTATAAATTGTTTCGTTAAAGCTTTGGCTTTATACTAAGTGTCGCTTTATTTCGTTATAAAAGTCCCTGAATAGACAGCGATATATTCATCGCTGTAAAAAACCGAATGCAACGATGTGTAAGTAGAGTAAACAACACGTCATTCATTTACATCTCATGTTAATGTAAATTCTGTTTTGTATGAATATATGAATGTGATGATCTCGTAGTGTTATTTTTGGATCCGATCCGATCCGATTTTTGGATCCGATCGAAATCAAATCAATACGCAATTCGATTCACATATCAAAATGTTAAATCGCCAAAATCGAGAAAAACGACGGTTTTTACACGAATATTACAAAATGTAACTTTCTGTAGATGCCAAGATAATAAACAGATTGCCTACCCCATTGAGTTACGGTTGATAGTAAGTTTTCATGTTTAAAGTTGGAAGAAAGAAGAAAAGTTAAATAATTAGCAATACACGAGAATAGTAATCAATACTTGTTTTAAATTTCGTCCAGATCCGTTCAGCCGTTAAGAGTTACCTCCTGACAATCATCCATACATCCGAACTTGCGCATTAATAATATTAGTAACAGTAAGAAGTAAGAATGCATGTCTAACTATTTGTATAACTTTAGCATTAGTTTGTTATTTTATCGTATTTATAGTTTTGTTGCGTATATTTTATTTTAAGAACAGCAGTAAAGGCTTATTTTATTGGTATAGTGGTTCTCAATTAATCTGTATTTTTTTATAAGACTATGTTTGTGTGTGTGTGCCTGACCGTGCGATGATGCGCGACTTGAGCTCGTTGTCGTCGCAGAGCGGCGAGCGCGGCGCGGCGTGCAGCGCGGCCGCCGACAGCGCCTGGCCCTGCTCGCGCCGGTGCAGCAGCGTGGCCGCCGCGCGCTCCGCGTCGCCGCGCGCGATCGACACGCAGTGCTTTATCTATACCAATACCGCTGTGCTTCACCATCGACATCGATCGATAAGAGAGAGAGGAGGAGCGAAGCAGAAAGAGTAGAGAGAGAGAGAGAGAGAGAATGCAGAGTAGGGGATAAGGCAGAGAGGGGGAAAGGGGGAGAGGCAGAGAGGGGGAAAGAGGGGAGAGGGGGAGAGACAGATATTGGGGGAGAGGGGAGGGGGGGGGAGGAGTACAGTAGAAGTACCACTAGTAGAACCTTTACCACTATGTACAATCGGGGAAGCTGGTGGTCAGATAGTTCTATTGGTTACAGTTGTTTAATCGTATTATGTATTGATACGCCGCGATATAATCAATAACACAAAGCTTCGATAGATTTTTATTATTATGTCCTCATTTTTCCAATTCATTGCTAATTTATTGGTTACTTGTAAGCGGCGGAGTTTGTCTAGTTTTTGGAAATGAAGCATTTCCTTGTAGCGAAAACGTTTCGTTTAATGAAGCACCGTTGAGTTCCGCGACTGTACTAGGTATTCATAAATAGGCGTAAATTTATATTCAGCATTAATGTACTACAAATGTGAAAGTTCCTGCTGAGCTGGGAGCAGTAAATAGTCTTTTATATACCCTTTTCTACTATAAAAGGTTTGCATCAAATCTGAACCTTGTTACACCGTTGCAATCGCATATGCATAGTGGTCACTTATTGTCAGGTGACCCGTTTGCATAATTTTGTCGTTCAAATTTATAACAAAAAAAATGATGTCATTATAAATTGACAATAAATATAACTGACCTCCATAGAGCAGGTGTTAGGGAACATCTCGTGCAGCACGCGGCACTGCTCGGCGTACTCCTCGCCATCCAGGATGGGGCGGCGACTCTCAGTGCTCTCAGAGCTCTCCGAGTTGGAGTGTGATCTGATTAAACATTACAAATTGTTAAAAAATAAAACAGATGTATCATAAACTAACAAAACACTAAAGTTTGCTTGACTGGGAGCTCAATTTATATACTATAATTTGTAACTTGTGGGTATTTTTAATTATTTTACTAGTTTTAAGTAATTTATAATAGAAATATACAACTTTAAATCAATAGGTTAAAGAGATTGTAAATAGTTGTAAATAATTTCTGCTATTAAAAAAAACTAACTATTTTATTGTGTGCATCTCTAGAATATCAGTAAAATGTGCTTACCTATTGTTCTTAGAAGGCAGCATCTCATTAAGGCTCTGCAGAGTAAGACTGAGCTTGTCACTCTCACCAGAATCATCTATAGTTACAAGGAAAGAATGACAATATATTTAATCAATATAACATCTAAAATCGAATATGCAGGTAATAAATTTGCTTATTAATGGATGTAATAAATTTTAAGTGTGGAAAGACTTGGCTTTTTAATCTTAATTAATCCTAATGTCGCAACTTGGTCAATAGCACTTTATTTAAAAACCTATATTAAATGTCACTCACCACTGGTGGAAGCGGAGTCGGTCTCCACCCGCTGAGACAGCTGGGCTTCCAGCTCCAGTACCCAGGTGCATACCACCCCAGCATCAATGGTTGCAAAGTCCGGCATAAAGGCTGCCATCATCTCTATAAAACCTACAGAATAAAACAAAAATGATTAGCATTACAACAAAACAATTTCAACATGCCAGATTGCAAAGTAGAGATAAAGTGTTATTTAAGAAAAAATAAAAGTAATATTGCAGGCAGGCATTAAAGATTGTGAATAAATGAACAAATGCTTGTTTTAAATGCATTTGCATGTATTTCAGCTTGAAGTTGATCAGCATGTTGCGGTAAAAGACAAAGAGGTGTGGTCTTTAATCCTTATGGAGTGATCACCGTTGGAGAATGGCTGGAATGGTTTTAAATATTTCAGCCATTAAAAATTATTTAAATACATTGAGTGTCAGATTTATAAAAAAATAATTACAAACTCAAAATGTTCATTGAATAAAAACGAATGAAAATATACTTAAGCCTTTCATTCAATTTGTGCAATCAATAGTGACAAATAAGAGAGATAATAAGATATTTTATTCTACTGTTGTTTTAATACAGTTACTACCCAACATCCGTACCTTCAACATCAAAATAGGCGTCTTGAGATGCTTCTTCCAATATAGAAATCACATAAGCGAGAACAATATCATCGATTACATTTATATTCGCGGAAGGGATGTTTTTCGCGATGAACTGAGATAAACTCTCCTTAACAAAAGATTCTTGTTGCGCTATGGAACTCATTTTTATCTAAAACAATGAAAATATGTTAAAATATTGAGAAAATAGAAGCAATCTAAACTGATTTGCGTTACGCGTCGATAAACATTCTTTTTAACGTCACAAATAATGTATTTTACTAGATATAAAATCGGTGCAATAAATTTCTTACCTCTCGTTTGCTGCCTACGGGAACCGAAGATATCAATATGGTACGAATTGATTTTCTTCGGAAAAATCTAGGCACCGAGCGGAGCGACAGAAAATCAATACAAATGAACTTTTTTTAGTAAACAACTTTTGTCGTCAAATGTCACTGATTTTGATCGTTCAGCCAAAACTTACTTCACCGCATCAAAATCTTGAAATATTTTTAATTTGAAATTAATCCTGTTTTTAGGAAGTAAAATGCACAAATTACACGGATTTAAATCATAGGGCTTAAATCATAGAAACATAGTTAGAAAATATGAATAATTGATTTCTAGCAACACTAGTTGAAATTTAGCACTGATGGATATATTATTTTCTATTTCTATCATGTCATACCATTTTCCGCCACATTTAAGCACATAATAAAAGTAACTTAATCATACTTAATTACATTGGCTTCCTTGTTTTTTTACTTTTCAATGCTTGAGAAAGAGGTCCCAAGGTTTCGGAACTGGAAAACCACCACTCGTAGGTGAAGTAATTGATTACCGATCCTAACTTTACTAACTAAAACTAAAGAAGGAAATCTGAAATCTAAAAGAAGCTTGCAATCTTTGTTGAGTCTAGTTGCTTTCCTTCTTTGCGTAGCTTTTTGAAGCTCCGGGCTTTATTGACTTCTAGAGCGTATTGTTTGAGCAAATTGTGTCGTATGTTGTATTAGCGACAAATGCAACTAAGATTACATCAAAGCGAATAGAATTATTTAATCTCAATGATATTTATGTATAGTTAAGGTTATTGTTATGGTTAAATTAAAATGAAACACCATTTGTTTTACAATAGAATTTGATATATTCCAATTAAAATTTTAAAATATAACGAACAATCATATCTCAATACTCTTAACATTTTCTAACATGATCGATAAACACAACGCCATTTTCACAACTACCGGGTAAATAACAACATTTTCTTTGGCTTAATCGTTCAATTTGAAAACAATAATAACTGAAAAATTTACAAATATTGCTCGTATTATCATTACATTTGTAAATATTTGTGCTCGACATTTCGTTGTTTGCCCGACTGACAGAAGGATTTATTTGTAGATATTTAAGTATGTCTGTATATATCCATTCTGCTGTTTTTTTTTTTCGAAATCAACACATCAGATGTCAGTCGGTTTTTTTTTAATTACAGCTAACAATTAAACTTTCAATAGATTTGTTATCTTAAAAAAAAATTGTAACTTAAAATCAAATAGAAATATATCTATTACTGTATATTGCTCTATATTTAAGCTATGCATTAGTAGTTTTTAGTTCGACATTTAGAGAAACAGATTATTTATATTAACACACATATTTAGGACACTTTTATAATATTTAAATATTATTTTTAAGTAGCTTATTCTTTTATTTCAATAATAGCAATATATTAAAAAATAGTGATTAAGAATTTGCAATATATATTTTCTTAAAAATTAAATTATAGGTATCTTAAACATCAAATTAATTTTTACTACATAAAAGTAAATATTTAAAATATTTTTCAACGCATTTAAAAATATCGTAGTCCTAACAAAAATATCGATTGTGTGCATCTACATAAATTATTTGCTATTTGGTGTAGGAAAGATATTTTTTTTCTTTATTTTGGTAACTCATAGACATATTGTTTCACATACAACATCTAAAAGTATAGTAAAATATGGTAATACATACATTTAAAATAATTTCTTATTAGAAGTTTCTCCAACATAAACATCTAACACACGACATCTAAAATTAGATGTTACAAAAGATATTTTAAGTTTTTTTAATTAGTGACAGTATATATTTTGGTTTGAAAGTATATAGTTACGTCATTAATTTTGATGACATAAACTTTTAGTTACTTGCTAATAAAAATCATGGAGGACACAGACTATATATGGTAGTACGTGATAGGCAGAAAGGGAAACTTTAGGATTAACATTATTCGAATACTTAGAAATGGGAGTTATCCAGCCTTTTAAAATCTATATATCTTGTTACTTCGAAGTGTACTTTTATAAAAATAAAGAGCTTAGGTATAGTGCAGGTACATTTATGAGGTAAATTAATTAAAACGAGTTTAAACCAATACATCCATTTGGATGACAATAAACTTTTCTCGCTTTGATAATTAAGAAACTTAGTAAAGTCATGAACTCAAAACTTATCTTTTGTACTTCGGGTTTTTTGTAGATATTTTTTAATTTTTCTATCAAAGGATTATATCGGTGGGTTATTTGCTCTATGTGGTGCAATATTTTTTTCTTCTATCTATGGTACGTTATTCGACTATTGTTTAATTATATACATTAAAATTTGAATTTAGAATATTTTTATTCGAATTTTAATTTTGAGACAAGCTTGATTTTTTTTTCGTAAATACGAATTAAAATTAATTATCTTGCATCAAAAAATTGACTTACAAAAAATTAACACTTTTTCAACAATCATTGATAGATATTTTATATGTAACACAGTACGCATGTTTTGATAGACAAATACATTTATATAATCTTTAAACTAAGGGACAATGGATAAAAAAGATCATTTTCTGTAAATAATGTAATGAAGCAACCCGTTTATGATATGTACAATCCGTGAAAGGGAAAATGCTTTTGAATCAATAGGTAGCCAGCCATATTGCTTTTAAAAAATAAAAAATAAACTATTTTGCATTACAATGTCTAACTTCACCGCGTCTAGAGGTTAGGATTTTAGCCCTTAGTAATCCTTAATAATTTAACATTAGCGTTTTCAATGGATAATTAAAATCAGGATGTTGACACAAAATCAGCAATAGAAAAAATGTTGTATAGTATTCATACTAGTTAATTCGTATGTCTAATATTGTTATTCAAAGTTAAATAAAAAAAATAAGATGTGCTGCCCATTGTCCCTCTCTTTGTGCCATTCGGTAAAACTAGTGCAATTCTTTTAATATTTAATATTAATTTATATGTATTCTCTTTACGTAGGTATGTAATTGACCACTAAAACATTTGGCAGTTTGAGATATTTTTATGTGGACCTTAAATTTTAACGTGTCTATATAACATATTTTATTTTTAATAGGTAACATTAATGAATAACCTCATATATCAACGCACTAATCTCCACTTGTATCATTAAAAGTCAAGTTCAATTAAAAAAAAACAATTCAGGTAATATGATTAAATTTGAAATAAAAAAAAATCAATAAAAACAAAGATGCATATCGTATGTATTATCTAAATACAAAAAATAATCATAATTCCTTAAGTAATTTCCATGGAGTTTCCAAAAAGAAACCATTAACACGTTTTTTTTTATTCTTACATTACAATTTGCTCGTAATGCGGAGATTAGTAGTTCTATAGTTACATCTATGATATAGGATTTTTATTTCAAATTCGTTCTTTTAAATATCATTTTCAACTTCAAATTCAGTTATTGTTCAAAATCAGTTCAGTTATTCAATTTTATACTTTAAAGACTGAATTTGTTCCGCAAAATGATGAAATTGATTTTTAAAAATACGAATTCAAATAAAACCTTTATTTTAATATTGCAACACATGTATCACGATAAAAGCGTAATATCACTGAGGTATATTGCGACATAGATCTTAAATACAACATCAATATTCAATTAACACTAGTCGGGTATTATATTCAATATTTTTTTTAGAATAGGTATAGTTACATACTCCATTTCATACATATATTAAATAAGATATTTTCACGAGATTATTTAAAAAATACGGTACATCGTAATTAATGCACAAATTAAAAAGTACACCAATAAACAATCAATCAATATCTTCCTATTTCTAAAAAGAGCAAGACAAGTTCATAGTATTTTCAACTCATTGTGTAAAATATCAACAAAGATCAATTACTGGGGATTTTACCCTTGATGTTTTGTAAATAGATATGGACATGTTCTTTACTTTTAATTTGTATACTTTAGAGTTTTTGTTACAATTATTTAAACATATTGTAAACATAATGTTTGTGCTGGAATGACGTAGGCTTTAGTGAACTAATGTTCCGTTTGTTAAAAATAAAGTAATTTTTACAATTATTTTTCACATGTCGAATTCTTATTTGAATTCTACAACAATAGTAGTAGATTCTATAATAAATTAAATAGATTCAATAGATTGAAATTTGTTAAGATTTTGAAAATTATATTTTAATTGGTTTGAAATAAATATTTTTAAACGCTGGACGTAGCCTGCTGACTGCTGTGGTCGGACAACACCGAATTAAGGTCTGACTCGCGGAGGGTGGGGGGAGTACCGAATGGAAAATCCTGAAAATAAATAATTTAAAAATTTTATTTAAGCAGCCCTTTAATGTAGCCTTACCACTAAATTAACACTGTGGTATTTCCTTAACACTTAATATGAGTTTCTTAGTTATTCCTCTGTTTATATGTTAATCCAGAGGTTTTTCTTACTTTGTCATAAATTGTAGCTTTGTAATACCTGATGTGGCAGTGTGCGCGGCGCAGGCGGTGCGGGCGGCGCTGGTGGAGGGGCGCGGGGCGCGCGGGGCGAAGCGCACTCCGCGCATTCCACGCCCGCGCTCGCGCTCGCGCCTGCCCCGCGCGTCGACCGCCGCGACCACGACTCCGGCATGCAACTGTCAACACACAATTACAATTTACAGTCCTAAATAATGTTAATGTGTAGTAACTATTAAAGGACTTTGGGATACTGACGCGTGATGTACAATGTGTGCGCAGGGCAGTGAGGCTAGGGGCTCCGGACGGTCCGCAAGCGGCTCGCGACAACGTGCGCACGCCGGCGCCGCCCACGCGGCCGCCGCACGCTTCTGCCGCGCCGCCGCGTTGTTGTCACCCAGCGCCGTGTAGATCTCTGCCAGCCGCAGACGGACTCGTCGCACCAACATCTATAGTGTAACAAAAAATATTTAATGCCACACTCAAATTTGTTAACAGTCACTAAGGAGGACTACATAGGGCCCGATAAATTAAAAACCCGAAGAATTACAATACATTTGCACAATGTTAGTATCATTATGTGGCGCTGAGTATCACCTTAGCGCCGACGGAGGTGGCGACCTCCAGCAGGCGCGTGTTGAACT